GAGAGTCATACTGGGTGGACTGGACAGCAGAAGCCTGAGCCACTCCCCCAGTGTTTGGAATGTCTGTGGGTTAAATATAGCAACTCTTGTCTGACTAGTGTCTCCAGCCTTCTTCAGAACCACAGCTTCCCTTCCTCCAAAAAGAATCGAGCTTCCAGTTACTGAAGCTAGGCCCAAGTGAGGTTCCCTTGTTTGTCAGTGTCACTGAACTGTTGTATTTTTTTGCCTTGTAAGGATTTATCCTGCTGCTGTTGATCAGCATTGTATCCTTTTGGTACAGAGGTGCTGCTTGATCTCCAAGCATTTCTTCCCTGGAGAGATCTGTGCTGCCCTCTGTAGCTATGAATGGCCCGATGACACTTCCAAAATTGTAAATATCAAGGAAAAGATGCATTTCTTGCTTCTAGTACTTTGCTGCTGTTGATCCTGGTTGTCCTCTGATCACAAACCTTTAGTATCCAGGTTCCTTATCTATACCCCTGCAGGCTGATACTGAGAACCATTTGAACTGTGCAGTATCCAGTTTCCTTTCTCCTTCCTGCTAGCCCTGGTTCTGAGGTCTGGGGGTTCTTTGGAACTCTGAAGGTCCCTCCCCCTCGCTACTGTAACAATCATTCCTCCTACAAGTCTTGCAGGACAGCCCCCATCTCTTTTTGCTAAGCACCCTGGGGCACCATTCCCTCTGGAGCCTAGCACTGCTAAATCATCTGAAGCAGTGGTTCTTAAAATTATTTGATCGGGCCCCCTTTTTGTGTGTGTCTGAAAGCAGAGCGGAGAGCAGCAGCTGCTGGCTGGGTGCCCAGCTGTGAAGGCGGTGCGGTGCCAACACAGATCAGAAGTAAGGGTGGCAATGTGAAAAGTGATATTCGCCAATATCACTTTTCACAGCAGACTTGGCTCCCCATTGCCACCTACTTCTGCGCTGCTTCTACCACCCCGGGGGCTGACAGCTAGAGCCCCACTGCCTCCCGGTGAGGGATTAGGGGCGGAGAGGAGGAGAGCCCCAGCTCGTGTGGCGGGGCTTTGGCTGTCCCCTTTATTTCCTCCCCATGGGTGTGCATGGCCCTTCTGCAGGAGCCCCAGCCATCTGGGGCTGACAGCCAGAGCTCTTTTTAAAAAAAAGAAAAAAAAAAGAGAACCACAGACAAACAACCAAACCACAGCTTGCTCTTCCCTTGACAGGTTCCTGTGCCTCCCTTGGGAGACCTGCCCCATAGTTTGAGAACCACTGATCTAAAGAAATCACTTGACCCCCTTTGCCATTAAGACAATGTATATTGTCTCCTCAGTGTTTTCCACTGCCATCAGCTCAGAATCCGAATGGCACTGGGAGGAAAACGTTCCTTATATTTGCACTGCAGGGAAGAATGTTATTTTAGGTGGATTTAATAAAGACTTTCGCAAGGTCTTTCTGTCTGGACTAGGGTGAGCAGATGGCAAGTGTGAAAAATCAGGAAGGGGAGTGTGTGTGGGGTATGGTGGGGGGGAGGGAGGGGATAGGCACCTATATAAGACACAGCCCTGACTATTGGGACTGCCCCTATAAAATCAGGGCATCTGGTCACCCCAGTCTGGACAAGCAAATGGGAGCTTTCTCTTTTACTCAGACACCTCACCTGGTCACCTGTCTTGACTTGGGCTCCAAAGACACCTTGATAAATGAATTTAGGTTTTGCTGTAGCTTCTTACAGATCTTGGTGTCCTTTGCTTAGAAACTAGGGTTGGTTTGGTTTTTGTTTTTTTAACTTCCTACAGCAATGCTTGTTAGTGAATCCCCCAGTTAGTGTGGCAAGGGATTGTGGTCTCGGGATTAGAGTAGGGCTCTATCAAGAGGCCTGTTCTATGCCCAGTTATTCTGATTTGCTGTGTAGTCTTCAGTTAGTAATTTACATACTCCTCTGTGCCTCAGTTTCCCATCTGTAAGATGGGGATAATACCTGCCTCAAAACAGGGCTGTGCAGCTTAAGAACTCTCTGAGATTCTTGAATGAAAGACCGATAGAAGCACAAAATATTATTTCTGTGTCTTCTAAGGCAAAAGTATGCTAGGGAAACCTTCACAGGGATTATTTTTTCCCCTCTGAGGAAGTGAAAGAACAGCACACAAGCATGGGCCCTTTCTAACCTGAATGCAGAAGGTTTTTCATTTTACTTGCAAATCTGATACATGGCGGAACTTTCAGTGAATATAGCACTTTACAGAACTGCCACCCCTGGGAATTTAATGGGGTTGTTCACTTTTTTTCTCTGCTTTCCGATGTGTAAAGAAGGCCTAAAAAAAATGCATGCAAGATCTGGTCTTTCCCCTTATTTTGCTGGAGGACTCACTGGAGATCTGGCATGGATTGGGAGCGCTCCCAATACCCTGCATTGAGGAAAGAAGGGGACTAAGATCCTCTCCCTGCACCTTCCCCCAGTTTTTAAGTTTTACATGGGTGTTGGTTTTAAAAGCTGCTTGTTTGTATTATCTGAATCAAAACCACTTCCCTCTCAATTAGGCTTCACTCCTCATGGCGTTGCCTTCCTAGTTTACTGGTAAGCCAGAGCCCTGCGGAGACTTGCTTTTTTCTTTGTTTTTTTTTTACATAAGGAATGCAAAAGAGAAGTTTTTTATTTTTTTTTAAAAACACAAACCTTCCAGCCCCCCTTTACATTAGAAAGAGGCACAAGCTCAATTTCTCACCCTCTCCCCTTTGTTTTGCAGGTCTTTTGAAAATGTTTTTGTTTTGTTTTTTGAAGCTCAAAAAAACCCTCTGATCGCCAGTGACCCTTTGTATTTTAATATTTCTCTGTGTACGGTGCGTCTCCGAAGGTCCTGCCCCAGTGTTTGTACAGTGCCCTGCATGCTTGCACAGCTCTAAATATTTACTAAAGCGAAACCTGTTAGAGGCCATCAAAGGGCTACTATTTTTTTTCTGTTATGCAACCTCCTGTTACCATACTGTGCTGCTTAATATAGGGGGACTGGAATTTTCCTGACTATTAGGTGACCATTAGCACAGATTTCACTGTCACAAAATAACTGTTAAAATACTCAGCACTAGACTCTGCAAATGACTGCACAGCTGTAGCTCTTCTTTGTATGTAACTCCTTTGCAGGTGCACCATGAAATGTCCTATCTACGCCCTTTCAGGGTTGGCATCTATACAACATGAGAAGGGATAAACTGCAACCTCCACCTAACCACCAGAAGAGAATCCTTCTGCCCTTCTCCTTATGTATGGTCCGTTTGCTGTTGAGGTTCCCCTTTGCTGTAATTAGGAGAACTGATGTTCCAAAGCGAGGTGGAAGCATCATTGTATCCTGCTTAATATTTAAACAACACTTGATTAAATCTTGCACCCACCCTTCCCAAACAGCTGACTTGAAACAGTTGATTGTTTGTGGCACCTTAGAGACTAACCAATTTATTTGAGCATGAGCTTTCGTGAGCTACAGCTCACTTCATCAGATGTTTACCGTGGAAACTGCAGCAGACTTTATATACACACAGAGAATATGAAACAATACCTCCTCCCACCCCACTGTCCTGCTGGTAATAGCTTATCTAAAGTGATCAACAGGTGGACCATTTCCAGCACAAATCCAGGTTTTCTCACCCTCCACCCCCCCACACAAATTCACTCTCCTGCTGGTGCTAGCCCATCCAAAGTGACAACTCTTTACATAATCAAGTCGGGCTATTTCCTGCATAGATCCAGGTTTTCTCACATCCCCCCCACCCCCATACACACACAAACTCACTCTCCTGCTGGTAATAGCTCATCTAAACTGACCACTCTCCAAGTCTGCTGCAGTTTCCACGGTAAACATCTGATGAAGTGAGCTGTAGCTCACGAAAGCTCATGCTCAAATAAATTGGTTAGTCTCTAAGGTGCCACAAGTACTCCTTTTCTTTTTGCGAATACAGACTAACACGGCTGTTCCTCTGAAACCAGTTGATTGTTGTAATTTCAGAAGCTGTATTGTGGCTTCTCCAAGGCTAGGAAAATGCAGTTTGTCCGGTGATCTGAATGACTTGACTTTCCTGTGTGGCTGCAGTTTTGAAGGTGCATTTGAAGATGCTGCTGGCACATTAGCAGCTGTCTCTCGAGGTTCTGTCATGCACCCTGTAACCGAACCTTGAAGCAGCGTTACTAGGGGGTGGCAGCACTGTTCATTTAGGCCAACCTCACTGCACCCACAAGGTGCCTCCATTCTTCCCCCCACAAGCTCCCTTCTATTTCAGGGGCTCAGTGCTACCCACACCCTCTCCCTCCTTTTGGGGGCTCTGTGTGCCCCTCATTCTCCCACCATGCCAGGAACTCTGCACACGTATGCCAGGAGTTTGTGCTTCTCTTCGCTCCATAATTCTGTGTCCCATTACTTCCTTCCCCCACCCTGATTGTTTCTCTTCTGTCAGGGAGTTAAGGTATTTGCATTGTTGACAGGTTAAATTCTGTTGGGCGAAGGGGCAGAGATGGATTAGAGGTATTAACTGGAAGGTGTTAACAGATGCCACCAACCAGTTCCTTAATCTAAAGACCGCTGGGGCTTGAAGCTGTGGCTCAACTAACCAGATGGTAGGGGTTCTGCATGTTCTCCAAAATCAATGGGGTCATGACCATTGCCAGGGACATTCCAGCCAATCAATTCCAACTTTCAGGGAGTGTTTGAAAGCTATCCCTTTGCATACAAGCTCAGCCAAAAGAGAAGAAAAAATAAACCCATGAGAGATTCTCATGGAAGCGCTGACTCTAACCACCAGCTTTTGCAGCTTCAAGGAACCACATCTCTTTGTGGTGTTTCCCTTATAGCTGCCTGATGCTATTGGGCCACTCGCTGCCACTGAGGTTCAGTGGGTCTAAGGGGTGCAGGTTCAAATCTATAACTTGTAAAGTTGGGGTAAGCTGCTTTTGGGGTCTGCCTCATTCTGGAGTAGAAGAGCACGGTCAGAGCTGTAACGGAATGGCCCCTAGCGTGACTGACACGTCCCTCCCTTGTTCACTGTGTCTCTACAGCTGGTCAGCGAGAAGGTCGGTGGAGCTGAAGGGACCAAGCTCGATGATGACTTCAAAGAAATGGAAAAGGTGAGTAGGGTAACAGACGGCTTTGTGTGCCTCTCCGCGCGTTTCCGAGGCGGGTACTGACTGGATTGCACTGCTGTTGGGTCATCTTCTCCCTGCAGAAAGTGGATGTTACCAGCAAGGCAGTCACAGAAGTATTAACCAGAACTACAGAATACCTGCAACCCAACCCAGGTAAGCGCCCACAGCCAGCCCTGCTCTGCCAGCATCCTTCAGGTGCTCCTCCCATTGCATAAGGGGGGAGAGGCCATTATCATGCAGAGAGTGGGGAAAGCTCAGAAACGCCAGCCTATTTGGCTTTGGGGTGGCCCCTTTCCAGTGGGCTACTGGGTTATAAGCATTGCTGCCTTCTACTGGAAATATGCTGGCCCAGCTTGTGTGACAGCCATGTCCTCCCCTTCCATGAGCAAGTGGAGTTTCTGCTTCTAGCAGAGCTCATTCGGGCTTTGAGGCCCATGTGAACCTGAATTTAAATTTTGATGTCACCCTGTGTAACCTCTCTAGACTATTCCAGCAGGCGCTTGGCAATTACGCCCCTGTCCAGCTATGTTTCACTTGTTCAAGGGCAGTCTCCATCCTTGTGATGTTTTCTCTGAGCCCAGAAAATCAGATTGACTGTCAAATAGTCACCCATGTCCTTTGGGTTCAAGATGCAGCAGATGGGCTACTGACTCCAGGGTGTTTGGGAACTGAGTTGTCTCCTATGAGGTGGGAGGCGAGTATGTCACGGTCATTCCTGGAGCCTGACTGCCTTCCTGTTACAGTCCAGTCAGTCTCATTGACTCCAGCACACCAGGGATTAACTAGAACGACAGGAGGGCTGGTGAACTTCTCTTTAGACCTTGTTGGCGAGCTCTGAACTATTTTCTGCTTGCTGTCTTGGAAGGGGCCATTTTTTAGAGCCAGCGATATTTCTGGGAGACTAAAACAATAAGCTTTCTTGGCCAGTGGAGTAACTTTGGGGGGAAAAAAAAAAGCTGGCAAACAGTCACTGCTTGCTGGCCAAGTCCACTAATTGCAAACACAGATGTGGCTGTCTCTTTGTGCCAGCTTCCAGAGCCAAGCTAACAATGCTCAACACGATGTCAAAGATCCGCGGGCAGGTGAAAAACCCTGGCTATCCACAGTCGGAAGGGCTCCTGGGGGAGAGCATGATCCGGTACGGGAAGGAGTTGGGCGACGAATCCAATTTCGGTAAGTGCTCCATTGGGCCGGCCAGCCCCTAAGTGAGCTGATAGGAAGTAAATTCCTGTTACTGGGTTTCCTTAAATCTTACTGTAAATCACTGACCTGGTCACATGAGTCAAGTGGAGAAAAAAAGGAAACTGACCGTGCAGATAGGGAAATGACATTTCACTGGGGTCAGGAGTAGGATTAGGGGATGGCAAAAGCACCTCTTAAAGAAGTAGTGTATGCAAACCGAGCTCCTGATATGCCTTGTTAGACTCTTAACCCTGCTCCCAGCCATCTTTCTGCTGCTTTAAAGTCCTAGCCACTGCCGCCTCTAGTGACCCAAACCAGCCATTGGTCAGTGCTGTGGAGTGGATGCATCTACAGAAAAATGAGCTGGAGTCTAGACTGTCTCACAGCCGACAGTTCTGTGGATGATCTGAGGTTTGGCCCTGACCTTGCATGGAGTTGAGCACCTTCTAGGAAATGCTGAGCACCCTCTGCTCCCAACACCTCCTGGGAAGTGCTCAGCATCATGCAGGATCAGACCAAGTTTGTATTTCTAGGGCTCCCTGGTGCGATGGGTGGCGCATGTCTCAGAAATGAACTTAGAATCCTTACTAATAGTACTGATATAACTCACGGTAGCCACTTCTGCAGCTCCCCCCATTGTAACGAGCGCCTTGCATTCAGTCACAATCCTCTCCACACCCCTATAAGCGCCATCCCCATTTTACAAGAGGGGCACAGAGCATTTAACTGACTTGCCCAAGGTTAGGCAGGGAATCTGGCAGAGCAGAGTCTAGAACCCAGAACTTTGAAGTCCCAGTCAACTGCCTCCTCAGGATGCAGAGTTCTCCTGCTGACTCAAACTGAGCAAATTTGACATGGAAAGTAGCGAGGGAAGAGATCAAGAGCCCTACAATGCAATTTTAACTGCAACTGGACTCCGAGGGGGTCACAGCCAAAAATCTTTCCACGTGGTATTGCCTCATTCCCATGAAGCAAGCCATGCGTGACTTGTGGGGATGTGGGGGCGGAGAAAGGAAGCCATTTGATGACAGCAGTATTAATCCACCAAAACATTGCAGCCTTCCCATGTGGCTGGGTTCAGGACGGCTCACAGCTGTGTGATCACTTCATAGCATGGGGCGGAACGTTCCCTGATCTGGAAGATTAAACGTTAGGTTTTTTGGGGAGTGGCTGTACTCCAGTGATTCCCTGGCTAGCTTTCTCCTTGGCTGGAGAAAACATTACTACAATACAGGATCTGAAAAGTAGTAGGGGGAAGTAAGTTTTAAGAGGACCCTATAAAACACAGCTACCTTAAACAGCCTCTCCTTTATAGGGACACCATCAGGTTTAGAAATGTATGTTTTAATAATGCAGCCTTCCCTGTGTTGCGGTATCTTGGGTTATTAACTCTGAAAGAACTTTTTAGAAATGGACTTTTTGCACATTTTTGTTTTAGCTGGGGCGATGAAAATAGATTAAATTTATTTATAGTAAATTTCACTTTCATATTCTCTTGCCCTTACCCGGTGCTGAAATGCTTGGGTTGCGAACACGGCAGGAGATCGTTTATTAATTCATAATTGTTTCCCTTGGAATTGTAGAAAACCAATCACAGAAGCATTTCTGTTCATCTGACATTATTAGCTTGTCAGACTTTAGACACCCTGGCAGGGGAAGGACCATAGGAAAAACTGAAAATAGAAAGGTTTTGTACAAACCTATTTTATAAGATCTTTAATTTTGGGTGTAAATTGAACCTAACAGTTATAGATTTGAGTTAACGATCTAAGCATGAACGAAAAAAATGAAGAAAAATATCTTGGGTTGCTGCCAACATCTGGGGAAATTTTATTTTAAAAATGTATCAAAATGCCTTGAGACTAATCCGAAGACTTAGCTGGGGCCACCGTAGCATTTGCCCTTCCTGTAGCACTTTGCATCAGAGAGTTCCAACCATTTTATATAGAGACGCCTTCAGGATGTCTCAGACCCCTGTGAAAAAGGTAGGCATTTTCTGTGTTTTACAGGTGAGGACCATGGGGCACAGAAAAGTGAAATGAGTTGCCAGATCTCACACAGTGTGTGTCAGAACTGGAAATAGAAGCTAGGAGTCCCAATTCCACACCACCTGCTCTAACCACTAGGTTGTGCTCCCTCCCTGTGCTACTCCAGTTGATCCAAATGAGAACTTATGGGTGTTTGATATGTGACTGGGGCTCATGCATGCTGAGTGTCTTGGCAGAGCGGTTCTGCGTGCAGCTGCCACAGACTCCGGCTTTAACTGGCTGGCTCTTTTTTTCTCTCTGACCTGCTCTTTTTCCTTTCTTCTCTCACGTGAAGGTGACGCGCTTCTTGATGCTGGTGAAGCTATGAAACGATTGGCTGAAGTGAAAGACTCGCTGGATATTGAAGTCAAACAGAACTTTATTGATCCTCTCCAGAACCTGTGTGACAAAGACCTGAAAGAGATCCAGGTAACTGGGAAGATTTTTCTCTTTCTCTCTTCCCCTCCGCCCCCCCTTCAGACTCTGGCCTCTTCAGGTTTTTAGCACCTGCTGTAATGTCCAGTATCGCTGCAGGACCCAAAGTAGACTTGCACAGCATCTGGTTTTGTTACCCTGCGTTTTGCATGCTTTCTCTGTATTTTCCTTGGATCCACTCGCATTTTCCTCTGGTGTGTTTAATATCCTCTGCCGCCGCCGCTGCTGTTCCTTGACCAGCCCATGACGGGGGATGTTTCTTGCAACAGTTTCCAGATTTATTCACTCACTCTAAGCTACCTTCATAACATACTTTAGATCTCCTGACTTACGTTGTGTAGCTACAGGTACTTGGATTGTTTGCATTGTGGATTCCTGAGACTGACAAATGGGGACATTGCCTTGCGTGCATTTTATAAGCCATTGATCAGCTTTCAGTTCCAGTGTCCCAGTATCCTGAAATATAGATCATGGGCTGCATGTGTCTTTTTCTTGCTCACCTACTTATCATGAGAAGCCCAGAAACAACCCCACAAGGATGCTTTATCACTGCACCTGTCCCCGCTGAGGAGGTCTGCTCATAGCTAGCCCTCACCTTCCTTGCATTCACAAGAGACAAGGCTCTTGAACACCACAGGTTTTGCAGTGGGAACCGTTGAAACCTATATCAAACCAGTCAAAATCGCCTGAGAACCGGTTCTCGCTTACAATGTGACCTATATGAACTGACTCCCAAACTAGCTATATAACAGATTTACTGAGCACCCGCAAACTTGTCAGGTGCCGTACAGTCAAATTAAGACAGACATGATCCCTGTCTACTTTCAGCCTCAGAAGAGAGGTGACGAGCCCAGGGCTTGTAACTGAAGTGTTGTATCTAAAGACTCTTGACTGCCCGGCGGAGAACCGAAGGCAAGGGGCCAGCTGTGCAGTTCTCCTTTAAAAGTGATTTATGGCAAGCAGACCCATGCTGAACTGGGGCAGTTTGGGTTCCCTCCAGTTTATGAACAGAAAAGGGGTGGGGGGGGGTGGAAATGTACTTTCTTGCCAACTTTATGGCTGTTTCCAAACAATGAAAAAGAAACCATAGTCACAGCAATCATAAATCCTCTGCTGAACTGGATCCAAGTAGTTCCCTCATCCCCCGCGCTGCTCTTCATTCCTGACCTTCAGCATCCCCTGTGGAGCATTGCTCACTGCGATCTGTAGTCTGCGGGGAGCCTGTCTGAAAGTGATGCCAGCAGTTGCCTATTCTGGGTGGTGGGAGGCTGGGTTCATTGGGAAAAGTTTGGGTGCCCCGGCCCGTGGTTTTCGTTTAACCGCTCGGAACCCTTCTCTCCCAAGCACCATCTTAAGAAGCTGGAGGGCAGGCGTCTGGACTTTGACTACAAGAAAAAACGTCAGGGGAAGATCCCGGACGAGGAGCTCCGCCAGGCCCTGGAGAAATTTGAAGAGTCCAAGGAAATAGCTGAGACAAGTATGCACAACCTCCTGGAGACTGACGTGAGTGTCCCCTAGAGATCACTGCGCTCTTCCCTCTTGGTTCGTCTGCGCGCCGCTGGGGCGCTGCCTAAGCGGCTGCACTGCTGTATGGACGTCTGGGGCAGCAGGGGGCTGGGTGCTTTTATCGGGGGGCGGGGGGAGAGTGTCTGGCGCTCTAATACTCTTAAAAAATGACACCGAATCTCCTGTCATGCCCCTTCCAATGGGCCCCTATTGTGATCCTGCACCCCCGTCCCCTGATATTTCCATTCTGGGCCCCCCCCCCTTTGCAAATGCCCTTCAGTCCTGACCCTGTAGCCCCCTCCCTGCTGATGCAGGCCAGGGCTGAGACTGATAATTCTACGAATGAGGCAGTGTGGAGACTCTTCTGTGTACATGTTTGGTCAGGACATGGCTGACACAGCTCATTCAGTCATGATGCAAAATGTCTGCTAAACCCATGTCCTCCGAGGTGCCAAGCTATCGGCCACTGTCTCGCTGAGCCTCAGCGAATGACTGAACTTTAAGGTCCCTAACTCTTAAGACTTCTCTCTGCATGTAAATTTGAAGCTGCTTTTCGCATGTTTCCCAGTGTGGGTGTAAGCCCCCAGTGGAGCAATGGAAGTCTCCTGTAGTAGCGTGTGAAAGCCACTCATTGCAGTTTATGATCCTTGCAGATTGAGCAAGTAAGCCAGCTCTCAGCCCTGGTGGATGCCCAGGTAGATTACCACAGACAAGCAGTGCAGATCCTGGATGAGCTTGCAGAGAAACTCAAACGCAGGTGAGGCTTCCTAGGGCCACTGTGGATCCTGTGGGAGGAGAGAAGCGTGGTGGACACTGTAACTTGGGAGCTAGGGGCCAGAAAATATCTGGCTTCTTCCTCCGCAGTTTATTCCCTGGCAATAGAAGCTGTAGGAGCCTTTGAGGGTAGCTTTATCACTGCATCTCTTAGGCTTTCATGGTGAGTGATTTGTGTCTGCATGATCAGTTTTCTACAAAAGGCACTTTCTGGCATCTGGTGTGAAACCTCCCTGCAAACTCCCTGGGTTAATAGTTTCTTGCCGCTTTTGGCCATCTCTGGATCAAAACATAAATGCTCCCAATGAAATTGAAGATGCAAGTTGATTCCTTCTTGAACTGGGGGACGGGTAGGGGGAAAGGCTGGGGAGCAGGGCAGAGCACACACCGAGTCCTGTGTTCATGTAAACAATTGCAGCTCCTTAACAGGCCACTGGTGTTGGATGTGGGAGTTGTGGCCAGAATGCTGTTGGCATTTCTGATTTGATTCTGTTTCGACTCAGTAGATCCTGCCGCCTCCATTGTCAAGAAGATGAACTAGCATTATGCAAATACCTTTGAATTAGTCCCCTCTGGCTTCCCTTGTCATCTGAATGTCTGGCTCCATGTCTGATTTATTACAGTAGCATCCAAAGGCCCTAATCTGGATCAGGGCCCCATTGTCCTATGTGCTGGCCCACATGGTTGGACAAGGTCTCTGCCCTAAAGACCTTGTGATCTATTTAAAGATGGGACACAAGCAGGCGGCAGAAAGGCGGAGAGGAGGAGGATAACAGTAGTAACAGGCTGGTGACAGCCACTAAAATCAAGCACAATTCCGCAAAGCAGAGATGATGGATCTCGGTGCCTGCTTGGGTGGCTCCTTGTTTTTCAGCAAAGTCTTGCTCTATCCTCTGTATACGTTAGTGTGTCTCCGTAACCTGGGCTGCAAACATGTGACTTCCATGTGCCCCCTGGCATGTTGCAGATGGAACCCTGGAGCACAGTCTTGTAAATGGAATACAGATTAGTGTCTGGTGTGGAGAAGCAGGAGGAAATGCATTCCCCAAGTGACTCTGCACTGGGGCTTGGAGGAATCCTGGCCTGGGCTGTGGAACCTTTACTGTGGCTGTTAAAAGCAAGAGGCTCCAGGTTTAATATCAGCCAGCCATAAGGATCTTCATGAAGGGAGCTAATTCTGCAATCTCCCTCCTGTTCCCAGTTTTTTCCCTTAACCCCCATGTAACTTCGTTCATGCACCTTCTTTTCAAATGAGGTGTTAAAAGATTCTGTCCCCGGTGTGGTGTTCAAATGTGTTTGGATTACTAGGCATACTGGTTAGGCTGCTCTGCTGGAGGGGCTGAGTCACGAAAAGAGCCTGAAAGAACTAAATATGTTTAGTTTTGCCACACTGGGATGCAGTGTGGTCTAGTGGTTAGAGCCCCCGGACAAAGTCTCAGGAGACCTTGGTTCAGTTCCTGGCTCTGCTGCCACCGTGCTGCATTGTCTTGGGCAAGTCGCTCCCCCCATGCCTCAGTTTCCCCATCTGTAAAATGGCAGTAATGATACTGACCTCCGTTGTAAAGCACTTGGAGATCTGTTGATGGAACGCACTAGATAAGAGCTGGGGGCTTGCATTGAGCTGCCTGCTAGGGTATCTCCCTCAAGCCATTTTCCCCAGAAATCCTGCAGAGTAGTGTGACTATTCTCCATCTATTACTACCTTGTGTTTGAGTTCCTCCTTCATGCATGTGAATTGATGCGTGCCAAGTAGTCTCTGGTTTAAATTAATATGGGCAGGAGTTGGGAGTATCCTGGAAAGTTAGAGAATGCAAACTACTGGAACAGTGGCCTCTGCTGGCCAAAGAGAAATAATGCTCCGAAAGCAGATTCCCTTTAAGGCAAGAGTGGTGGGAATTTGCCCTCGCTGCCTGAGAGAGGTAGCCGGGGAGCCTTTTCCAGGGCAAAAGCAGATCTCTGCATGGGGGGAAGGGTGAAAATAAAACCAGTCAGTCATGCTCTGGGACTCAATTGACAGATTTCATGCCAGTGACTCCGGGGAACTGGAGTCCAGAACCAAACTGATCTGGCCAGGTGAGGCTGAGGTAGGAGCAAGGCAGATGGGAGAGAACTGAATTATGTGTAACTCATCTAGATGCTCCGGGGGTTGCAAGGCCTTGTTGTGTAGGATATGACTCCTCTCTTCCCCCAACCAGTACACAGACTCTTTGTGAATCTTTGTGGTTAGTAGAGACCTGCACACAAACCTCAGCCTCTCCGAACCCTTGGTTCAGAGCTTCATGTGTTAATTTCTGTGGCATGAGCGATGTTGTCTACATCCTACACAGATCCTGGGAGGTTAGACAGATCTGGGTCTGAAATGGTGACGGTCACAGTCTGACTCTTCCATCTGCACGGGCACAACTGTGGTAGGGGATATTCAGCTTTCATCCCACCTGTCCAGGGGATGATGTGCGAACGGGGCAGGAGAGGTGGTTGTGTGTGTTAACCTCAGTGTGCTCGGTGAGATAAGGTCCCTGCTCTGAAGAGTTTGTCATACAAGGTGGGTCCTAATGTGGTATTTCCTTTGAAATCAGGGTGAGGGCATCACAGTCCCTGGCCAGGCCCCTTACTATTGTTGGGGCCTGAGCCAGTTCCCACTGACCAATGGAAACACAGCCAGGCAGCGGGATGAGTTGGCTGCTGCTGCTCGAGTCTCTTGCTGTAAACACAGACGCAGCTTCGCTCTGACTTCACCGTGTCTCTGTTGCCTCTTCAGAATGAAGGACGCCTCTTCACGCCCCAAGCGGGAGTACAAACCTAAGCCCAGAGAGACGTATGACTTTGGAGATGCCGACCAGTCCAACGGAGGCTTTTCTTGCAACCCCACCCCCAAAGTCTCAGGTAAAGACGTCACTGGTGTGCGGTGCCTCCTGTCACGGGTGCTTTGTGGGCGCTGGCATAGCAAGCAGCATTGGGAATGGAGGGGATTTGCCCTCTCGGAGGAGACGAGAACGTTCCTGTGCTGGATGTGCCGCAGACGGCCCAGGAGGTAGCAGAAATGTTTAGGAGCGGGGGCCCTTTGCTATCCTGGCCCACGCATCCTCCCTATTCTTGGCTTTGGCTCTGGTGCGAGTGGGACCATTTTCAGCCAGTGCCGGCTGGCTGCCTCTCTCTGTTCTGACTCTGCAGTGGCCCACCTCACTTAGTGCCCTGGGTTGTCATCTAATCGCGCGATCTGTGAGTGGTGGATAGGAGAAATCGTGTGTCGTCCTTCCCTCCTGCCCCCTGCACACTCCGGCCCCTAACTCAGGCTGTAGGATACCATATCCCTCCCCACTAACAGACCCCTCCCTTTTGGGCTGTACCAAGGGATTCTTTTTTTATATATTGGTTTTAAGCATGTCTCTTTTTATTTGGAAGCAGCTTCCTCCTCTTTTCGATCCGACAAGCCATCCCGGACCCCCAGCAGGAGTATTTGTGAGTTCCCCTCCCCCATGCTGCATGCAGTGTGCCCTCCCTCTCTCTTTCTCTCTCCTCACTCCTGCTCTCCCATAAGCTGCCACTTGGCGCCACTAACACTTTGACCACCAAATAACTCATTCTGGTTTTAGTCTGTCCACTAAAAATCTTTGCTCTAATTCTGCCCTTGCTGACTCCTGCACATCCAAGTGACTTGGGTTGTAACCGAAGGAAAGATTTGGGCCCTTGTCTATTTCTTTTTTATGGACAAAATGCCTGGAGTGTTCCCCCCCCCAATGAATTGGAAGGAAACATTTATTTTCTGGCCTCTTTCCCCTCTTCCTCCGCCAGTGCGCCCACCCCGTTTTGTCCATAGAAATGTTTCTGGCCATAAAGGAAATCTTACACACGTGTTTGAAAACAAGTTGCTGTTACATACGGCCCATCCAGCAAATACTCTGCCTCCTTCTTTCACTCCTCCTGGAGCTGTCGCAGTCACGCCAACACAGCCAGAGGCCAGTTAGAAAGCAAGGAGCACTTGGGCATGCCGTGAAAGTTTTGTAGGATAAGGGAGAACTGGGGGGCGGGCTCAGCGTGGCTCTGTTGAGGTGTTTCTGAAGTTACTTTCCCGTGTGATGGGAGGTCCAGGCAGGAAGTGGTGATATTGAGCAAGAGAGAGAAAGGGGAGAAGATCGGGTCTTGCATTTCCCTTTGGGGAGGGGAAGGTTCAAGCAGATCTGTTTGGGGAGGTGCTGGAGTGGTTCTTGAAGTTGGGTGCACAGTTCAGACAGGCAGGAGAGTAGGGATGGAGGGCCTCTGCTTTTGGAAGGGGTGGTCTGGGTTACTGGGGAAACAGAGTAACAGCATCGAAATGCTGATGGGGAGTAGCCTTGCATGCGGGCTGTCAGTTCAGAGCCCTGTGTGGTGGAGGAGAGGACTGGGTACTGAGCACTCAGGAAGGGATTGTGTTGCGTGGCCTGACCCGTGCTATTCGCTTCAGTATGGGGCTGAGCTGTTTTGCTTGTGGGAAACCTTTGCTGCTGGGAAATGCAGAGTTAATTTGGAAAGTCTCTTCTGAAAAATAAACCTGCTGCAGCTTGTGGTGTTTCCTGCCTCCTCTCCCAGTGTCTGGTTGTTCCTGGCTGTAATATCCAACTACCTGGGGTGGCCCCGGTCACCCCATCCATTTGGAAAATCCAGTGACCCAGCTGGAAGTTCCCAAGTATCGAGTGGGAAGTGGGGCTATGGAGATGTTGTGTTCTCCTCTCTTGGATTCCACTTGCTGGGTTACTTGGCCCCTTGTAGTGCAGTGGGAGTCTGGGCCAGTGTATGGGACCCTGCAACAACGCATCTCACGCAGCCCGCTCCTGGAAAGGGTCCCAAGGGTAAAAGCTGGACTCCAGGTGATGAGGCAAATGTGCTTGAGAAACTGATTCTGAAAGCCGCCTTGTTTTTCCTCTTGGCTTTAGTGAGTTTGGTCAAAATCCCCCTTTGCCAAATGCCCCAGATTCCCATTTCCTGTGTATGGGGAATGTGTTGTGGCTGAAACATATGACTGAAAATCGGGGGATCTGGGCTTTACTCGCAGCTCTGCCAAAGAAACTTTTGTGGCCTTAGGCAAGTCCCTTATTCCTCAACCTTCCCCTCTGCTGCTTTTGAAAACCCTATAAGAAGTGCTGCACAAACGTGAAGCCTCTCAGAGATGCTGCTCCTTCTGGGGGGCAGCAGAGGGGTTTGTCCATCCAACCCCAACTGCCCTGGGTGGTGTATTTTCTCTCGCCGAAGCGTGGGAAGGAAAAGGCTCTGGGAACTGAATAGGATGGTAGTGGGGACACATTTCACCTGTATTTGAAACTGCAGCTTCCCCTGCCCTCTGCTTGTCTGTCGCTAGCCTCAGCACAGACCCCAAGGACTGACAGGGTTGCGGAGACCCAGAGGAGAGTGTCTGCCTCGGAGTTGATGCATATAGATAGGATGGAGCAGGGTATAGGGGACGCTTTAACTACTGTCATCCATACTGGATCTGTTTGACTAAATAGAGGATTGTGCTCTCCAGGGCTGTCTACTTGGCACTAAAATTCACAATTCACCTGAAAATTAGGGTGGAAAATTGGTCTGTGGGACAAGAGGAAGAGGTTAGTTTAGCACCGAAGCTGCTCCATGATCTGGCTTCGCAGGCCAAGATTTGAAGAATCACTAGTGATGTTTAGGGGCCCCACTTGACATGCCTTTAAAGGAGCCTGATTTTCAGAGGGGCAAGTGCTCGGCCCTTTCTGCAGATCAGGCCTCCGGACAATGTTTCCAGGTGAGCACCGAATCATAGAGGCACCCGAAATCATAGTCCATCCTGGCCCTCTGGGCTGTAGGCTCCAAGTTCTCTTCGTTACCATCCAGTATTGAGTCTAACTCAGTCACCAACTAACAGATTAACTGACCGTTGGTTTCCCCACGGTGATCGTTAAAGTAGTAACACTCTCACTTCTCTCTCTTTCCCAGCGGGGATCATTCTGGCTGGAGTTTAACCGTCTTCATTGACTAACTGGAGATAGTTGAGAGACGAGCAACAAGCAGGCTCAGGGGGCTGGAGGGACTAAGAAGGGATAGATTAGGAAGGCAGAAAGGCTAAGGGAGGTTTGTGAGTCTACAGCTTGGTGTTAACTCCTTTTAAGGAGGGAGAAGTAACTTAGCGTGGTGCATGGGATAGCAGGAGGAAAAGGAAAACTTGGGCTGGAAATTCCCTGCTATGCTGTGGATTAGCTGCCAGGGGGAGGGTGGGAGCCCCCTTCCTTGGCATTCTTATAACTAAAAATATGCAGGAGCGAACAGTTGGCCCTGGCAGGGAGTTGGAAGCCGAGTATGGCTCTTGGATCTAACTTCTGCCCAAAAGTTCAGTGCTGCAGTGAATAGGAAACCCCACAAAGGCGATCAGTGGTGACTGGATTGCCCTGGGGTAAGGGAGTCCCAGAGGGTGAGGCTGCTCAGTGAGGCCTGATTTGTCTGCGCTCCCTTGGTCTGCGGGCCGGGCTCACCTTGGCTCTGCCTGTCTCTTTCCAGCTCACCTGGACCAGCCCTGCTGCAAGGCGCTCTATGACTTTGAACCCGAAAACGACGGCGAGCTGGGCTTTAGGGAGGGTGACATCATCACGCTGACCAATCAGATTGACGAAAACTGGTACGAGGGCATGATCAACGGCCAGTCTGGCTTCTTCCCACTCAACTACGTGGAAGTGCTGGTCCCGCTACCGCAGTGAAACTGCATCTTCACCCTCCTCCCCCCTGGCCCTTCCCCTTCCTCCTCCCCCACCGCATACAAACTCATGGCGGGGCGAGCCCTGCTCTTCTGCATTCCATTTTGTAACTCAACACTAGGCTTCTTCTGCGGGGCGGGGCTGAGAGAACGGGATGGCGTTCGCTCTGCACGTGTGCTGGATCAGTGTAAGGGTGGCAGCAGGGAACAAGCCGCAAGGGCTGGGCAGCCCCATTCAAGTTTTCCCTTCTTGGCTTTGAACTAGGTACTTTCAACCCCACCAGGCTCCTCCCATTTTGTATAATAAGCCAAGTCGAGCATCTCCTGGTTTGTCGTGTGTCTTTTTTGGGAAAAGCATGTGAAGCGGGTCAGCCATGCTGGAGATCCTGGGAACGTGGGTGCACCTGGGCAGCAGAGTGCACGTGTCCTACCTATGGGCAAGCTCGAGGGGGCACATGCAGGGCCAAGCACAGGGCAAGTCCAGTGAGAACCACCTGTGTGTGTTGGGAGGGGGAGGGAAACAGGACCTGCAGCCTCTTCTAGGAGGGGCTCTAGACTTAAACTGTGCAAGGAAAATACCTTCCACAGCTTAGCTTAGGTGGGGTTGGTGTCTACTGAACACGACCAGCAACCGTGCTCGCCTTGTAGGATAAGGGCGAAGCAGTGAGGGTGAAAGTCAGACACTGACCCGTCCTTCCTGTTTGCCTACAGTTCACACCTATTCTAACACTGGGGGGGGGGGGCCCGCGTGATGGATCAAAGTTCTCTATGCTGCTGTGGGAGGCAGAAGCAGGGCTGCTTCCTGTCCTGCTGCCTCGATGGGCCTCTCCTGCTCACCCATTCTGCTCCTGTGTAAGGACAGGGCTTAGCTGCGGGATTGTATTTCAGAGGAACACTACAAAGCAGCTTGAAAACACTAAATAGCCCCCTTGTTGTCACCCCTAGCTTCCACCTCCTGCTTTCTGTGCACTCAGCTTTGTGCTGGATTGTTTGCCGCCTCCTGTCCTCCAGAGCCGGTGTCAGCCCATAGTGTCTCTGGCCTCTGCTCTGTTTCATGGCCACAGACCTTGAGCCTCCACCTGCTGCAACCGCTCCCTCTGCCCCCAGAAGAGTGGTTTGAACTGGGAGAGATGAATTGGTTCTGCTGCTTCCCCTTGGAAGAGGCTGGTTTGGCCAGGGGGGAGTGTACCTGCAGCTCTTGTATGGTGCTGGGCATGGGATAATGCTATAGTCAAATTATGGCTAAGGCGCTATTCCCTATAGATGAGAGCGATCATGGGAAGGCAGCTGCTTAGCCCATAATGCACCGGCACAAACCAACATGCCCTTATCTCCCCTCCTGTTCCATGTTCAAGTGTTTTTTCCCATCCCATGAAAGGCTGAGTCCAAGGTGAAACTGCTTGGCTTGATCTAGTCTAATCCTTATGTGCCTTCCCCAGCTCCCTTCACCTCGGCTCTTTGGAACCTTAGGAGCTGCTTGTCTTGGTGTGATGGGAGAAGGCCTTGCTGTGTTCATAGACCTTCTAACTCAGGGCCTGTTGTTTCCTTACCCAGAAAGGAGGTCCAGTGGGAAGCCGTGGGCGCGCCTCTTTTCATGGCCTTTATTAGGACCAGTCCTTGCAATACTTGTCTCCTGCCTGATGCCCTGCAGCTCTGCTCCAACCGGGGTGACAATCCATTCCCTGAGCAGTGTTGTGGTGGCAAGAAGCAGCCGCTTGGCAGGGGGCCCTGGTATTTACGCAGAACGTGAGGTGGTATCTACCGGGGCCTGGCGTTGTCTGTTTAGGTGGAATCACGCGGGAACTCTCTTCTGCCCCTCAGTATGTAAATATGCTTCCATCTCAGCACCCATCCTGTTGCTGGCAATGGGACAAAGCGCAACCCCTGAGGGGCATCAGTGGCTCCTGTACTTGCCCCACTTCTCCCAGCTGTGTCCAGCATAGATGGGCTCAAAGCGAAGAGAAGCTCTGCCTGGAGAGAACCATCTCACCCGTGGAGCTGCTCTGGGGTTTACTGCACTTTCTCTGAACCGCAGCACAAGAGAAATGCTGCTTCCAAGGGCAACCCGCAGGGGGTGTCTAAAGCCACATCTTGCAGAACGTACCTCCCCTGCTTTCCTTAGCCCCACTTTTGCTGAGAGGGAGCTGAAGCACAAGGGACTGAAGCTGGTGACGGGTGCTCCCACAGTGCCATTGGTACAGCCAGCGTGTGGCAGCCAGGGCATGCTATGCTCACCACATCACCCTCAAACCAGGGCGTGGTGTCTTCCTGCCCTCAGCAAGGCCCGGCACAACACACCTGTACCACGGGCCCTTTGGTTCTTCTGACGTCAGCCCCAGCATTGCTTCTGCATCTGTATTTTTTTAATAGCAAACAAATCTCTGCCGGCAGGTGGGGGGTTTCGGCCTGTCGCTATGTAATCGTCTCATGATGCAGTGCTTTCCTCTACCTTTCTCACTCGCCAGATTCGGTGTCCTGTTACGTATACACACAGAACCTTTTTAGCTTTTTTAACCATGCATGTTGATATACGTTTATTAATATCAATACTGTCACTGACCCAACTCCCAGCAGAGGCCAAGACTTGCAGGTGCTTTGTTCAGAGCTGGCTCATACAGCCACCCAGGCTCCCTGTTTGCGCAGCTGGTAGCCTTCAGGGGCCCAATCCTGCTTCCAGGAAGCCAACAGGAGTAGGGACCAGGCTCAGGCTTGGGTCTGCTGGGCAGACGCAGGTCCCCTATCTGTTAGGGTGGACCTGCCATAAGAGCTGGTTAGTATTTTTTGAGGTTGTAGCTTCTAACTTTCTCCTTTCAAACCCGTGGCCTGGCCGAGTCATGTCTTTGGTATGGTCCAGCGAACATTCAGTTGGATTGAAATAAGTCTTTTAGTTGGGACAATTTAATAGAACTTTTGTTATGGTTCCTCCTGGTTTTAGGGGGGGAACACCCACAAATCTTGACTTGTAATCTCTAAATAAAAGTATTAAATGTTTTCTTTCTAAAGCGTGTGCCTTTTCTTTCGGGGGCCAGGTGGGGGCTCCTTCCCCTACCGCTGTGGAATTAGCAAGCTGCCTAAGGGGTAGGGCAGCTGGGAGTGGAATATGGAAATAGAACCTCTCCCTCACTCAGGCAAACCCCCTTGGCTAACCACCACGTAACCTGCTCACGAGTTAGCGTGTGTCACCACTTCATATTGCGGGTGGCACTGCTTGGTCCCTGGGTGGAGATACCACCCCCCAAAGGAGCCACGGAGTGAGTGGACCAGCCAGGCTGACCCTTCCTCCTACCCCCTTGCACTTGCCACCTCTGGCTCAACAAGGCTGCTGCTTCCAGAACTGATTTCACTCTTCTGTTGAAGAGAGCCTCTCATGGGGACGGGAAGCCACTCTCGCAGCAGGCTGTGCCTTTAAAACCACCTGGGATGGCTTGTTCCAGGAAAGAGCAGTCAAGTCTCTTCGCTTTGACTCCAGCTGCTCCTTTTCCCCGAGAGGGGACGGATTTATCATCACTCAATCCCAGTAGGAGTGTTCTACGCACACATTCCCTTCTGGGTCTCCCACAGACACGGGGGTGGGGTCAGCAACATTTTTTAATCAGAACTACCAGTTGCACAAATAACTTACAGCCGGAGAGAGGCCGCCACCATCCTCCCTCGTTCGGACCTACACGCTACACCCCCAAGTTGTACTGCGCTCCCCGAGCCAGGCCCCGTCTCCACCAGCGGCAAACGAACCCGAGCCCCAGCGCTGATCCCGTCTGCAGGACAACTCGGCTTTCAGGGCTGTATAACGGATGACTCGGCTTTCAGGGCTGTATAACAGCTGCCCCAGGCTTGCAGATCCAACGTCCCTGCTAACTCCGCACTGGGCGCAGGCTCCAGTCTCCCCAAGCGTGGGGCTGCCAGGCTGAGCCCCACCTGGTGTAAAGGCACCTGGGTATGAGTTCAGTGTAATTCGGGCTCCAGCCTTGCCTCAGCTGCTGTGCTTGAGGAGGCTGTAAATCTGTTCCAGGACGTGGGCGAAGCCCTGATCTTTGGGTGTCCTGGAGGCGAGGGAGCCCTGAAATGGAAACAGCTTTGTTTATTTTCCATCTCAGGGAGGGGCCTAGCAGTACAGAACTACCCATCCCCCTAGGCCGAGCACCTGGTCTACCCCTAAAAAGTAAGGAAAGAGAGTTCTACCCAATGCAGCGGATCTTCACCATGGACAAGCTAACTCCGTTATCTGCCCCCGGCCACTAGACCTGTTCTCCAATGACTCTGCTTGAGTAAGGACCGCAGAAGTGGGGCTGGTATAAGCTATTAGACCCCCGCGTGCTCCATCCACATTGCTTGAGTTGTTTCAGTACAGCATAATTCCTCGGTGCAAGTCACAGAGAGTACGGCTACAATGAGGAAAACTGATCCAACCTTCCCCAGCCATGGAAGTGCTAAGGTGGAGGTAGTAAAAACACCTCACCTAGCTCAGAGCAAGCCTAGAAAACGGGCGGAAAAAGCCACCCCAGCATCCTCTCCGCCATCTTCTCTGGAGATGGCATATAATGGTTCGGCTTTTTTCCCATTTCAACCCCATTTTCTCACCTTTAGTTTGTCCAAGTAGGTCTGCTCCTGGCTCCATATATCTTGAAATTTCACTAGGTCCGGAGCCCCTTTGTAAAACTCAACCAGCAGCATCTGGAGCCGCAAAGGGAAAGGGGAGTCAGTGGAAGCCAAACGATTGCTCAAGTCCCACTGAAAGCGGGACCTGCGCCCTGCAGTTTTGCAGCAGTGGGGGAAGAGGTCTTAGAGGAGAGGATTGGCCTGTCAGCCCCAAGAAACATCGAGCTTTCCTGTCGCATGTAGAAGGGGATTGGTCAAGACTAGGATTGGAATCTAGAGAGACTTGGAGGGATGTTAGGCCTCTGACCATCTGGTTCTAGTGATGGTCTTTGCTTATCCCCCTCTCCAGCTCTTCCTTACTGCTAACAGGAGTAGAGGGGACTTGGTTTGGGCTGGGGCCCAGGCTGCTGCTTGGAACTGTTGACAGGTAATGGATCTGATTCTCGCTGTTCACCCACAGGGTGGCTACACCCCACACCTCCGTCCGGGCTCTTTGTCTGCATGTTTCACCCTGCTCCAAGCCATGGGATTTTCGTTCTCTGAAAGAACTCTGAACAACAGGTTTGAGAGAACTCGCTGGAGGCATGGGGAGAGCCTGGTGGTGCTGCTTCGTCTGGCTAAAGCCAACAGACAGAGCACCATGGGTATGTGTGTGTCACCCCAGACCTTCAGCCGCTGTTCAGTCTGAGCTGCACTGACACTAATGATCACAGCCCTTTTCCTGAGACCCCCTCACCACACCCGTCTGTGGAGATGAGGCTTCGCTCACCACCGGAGGCTGCTCTCAAACCCAGGATGGCTGCATTTCACGGGCCAGTGAAGCACCACACCCACTGATACGATGGGGAAGGAGACATGGAAGGTCCTACGGTGGAGAAGTGCTATACACACATAGCATGAAGTTACTGAGACCAGCCGAGGACTGCGAGGAGATGTGTACGGTGCTGTTAGATACTCCCAGGGGCCGGGGGAGAGATCTTCCACGTAGCCCCTGCTCGGGTTCCCCTCCCCCCAAGTAGGGATCTCACCATCTCATGGAGGACGTCATTGGTGAGAAACCCATCCTGCACGTAGGTGAGCTCCACTTCCATGGGGATGCCATAATCGTTGGGCCTTTGCTGTGAGAGAAAAGGAAGCACAGAGGTTTCCAGCCGGGCACAGCCTTGGGTTACACAGGACGAGCTGGGAGCTTCCCAGGCCAGGCTGGTGCACCAGCGTTAACTCAGCCCAGCCTCAGGCAAGGGACAGTTTGGGGCCAAGTCACACGCGTGATTGGCAGAGTCATGGCCCAAGTGTCAGGAAAAGGCCTTTTCCTGGCCACGGCTCCCTGAGGTGTCCAGGATGTTTATCCAGGGCAGAGAGGGGTCCGACTGCTTCTCCGGCTGGAGAGACTGTGTCCTCCCCCACACCCCAGCAGGGGCCCCGCTCCAGCAGCCCCCAGCAGCCCAGGGTCTGCTCCTTCGGCCAACGCCCCTGCACCATGGGAACCAGCAGAGGGCAATGTCTGCCATTGCCAGGAACCCCCCCGGGGAGCCGGCAGCAGGCTGCATGGTCCAGAGAGCCAGGGGGAGCAGGGGCGGAGGCTCCAGGCCTGGCCATGGCACCGTGTGGAACTCACCTCAGGAGGTGGCATGACCCAGAAGGGCGAGATTTTGGACTCCATGCCTTGGTTGCCGGGATAGTATGGTGCTGTGGGGAGAGAGCACCAGGAGTTGGACTGAGGGCCGGGTTACCACCCTCCGCAGCCCAGCCTGCCTGCCCAGGGCCTGGACTGCAGCTCCCCGGAGCCCCGGGAGGGGGTTTGAAGTAGAGCGAGGAGCATGGGATTGCAGTCCATCCCCCACCCCGCCGTGAGGGAGGGGTGGGGGGCATCCTGACGCCCTGCACCACGGGGCGCCAGACTGAGGTTCGGGGGCTGCCCAGGGGCTGAGCCCTAGCAGGTCCCAAGGTGCCAGACGGTGCCCCGGGGCGGGGAGCTGGGTCCCCAGCTGGCCGTGCTGAAGGGCAGGGTCCCCGGCCCCACATCTGGCTCCCCCGCACGGCCCGGCCCTTACCGCAGATGAGGGCCAGGCAGGGCTGGAAGCTGTTGTTGCTGCCCTGCAGCTTGAGCTGGTAATCCATCTGGGCGTCAATGTCCTGCAGCGAGGGGAGGGCGTGGCTGAAGGGGTGACTGTGGTACCAGCCCACCAGCGCCAGCCCCCGCAGGAAGAGGTTCTGGCAGATCTGAGGCACGGGCACAGAGAAGAGGGAGGAGCCATTAGAGGTCTTCTGGGATCAGCTGCCCAGGGCAAGCCCTGCTCGGGCCTGGAGCATGCACCGGCGGGATGGCGCAGGCCGCGGCCAGCTAATGCCCCCCCCCATCCGTTACCTCCTCCTCGACGGTGGCTGCCGATTCGGCGTCTCCGAGGCGCGTCCGGCAGGGGAACGCTCGCAGCACCGTCAGCACTGTAAGGAAGGCCAGGCGTCAGCTCGGCCCAGCCGCTCACGGACTCCACCCAGCCGAGAAAAGCTGGTTAGAGCGAATGCCCCCCAGCCTGCGAGCCTCGGGGGGGCTGAACCCCGGGTCCAGACTGGGGCCTCGCACCTTGGGCCCGAGGCAGCCTCGGAAGGGCCTGGCGCGGCCGGGAAATGAACTCCAAACCTCGGCCTGTACCTACCCTGGCTGCTGGTGTCCCACCTGCCTCCCAGGTAGCCAACCACCTCGCTCCTCGTTAGGTGGCTGTGAAAGTCCTAAAGAGGGAATGGGGGGAGAGTTTAAACCCAGGGCAGTTCCCACCTGCCCTCCCTCTGGTCTCTCCCCCACCCCCTCCCCTCCCTTCACCCCGCACCCCTCCTCTCGGTTCCCACCACCCTGCATCCAAAGGCATTGCGCACCCCTTCCCCGGGAGCCTCCACCAGGAGGTGTCTGGGTGACATCCCAGCCCTGAGTTTTCTGCGTTCTGTGGGTGTCACCCTCAGTTTAACACATCTCCCTGGGCCATGCGGATCCGTGAGTCGTCCCCCCCCCCCCACACGTTCCTTGGGAGCTGCCCTTCCGGCCGAGGCAACGTTAATATCACATGTTGCAGTCCCAGGATCTTGCTTTGATCCTGAAGGACTCTCAGGCCCCTGCTAATAGTCTACAAGTTGATGTGGCCTGCAGGAGGTGGGGTGCACAAAGGCTGGCCACCCTTTTGAGGAGAGATCATTGTCTGCAGTCCCTGAAGAAGTTCCCAGTCTGCGAGTTCTCTCGGTCACCAGCACGGGGCTGCCTGCCTTCACCACCCCAGCTCGGAAGTTTTTGCCACATGTCTCCTGGCAACCAGCAAATCCTTCAGCGGGGCCCATTATTCACCCATCGTCCACCTCCTCCCTCAAACTGCCCCTACTACGGTTAGCGATCGGACTGTGTGCAGCAGCTGTTCCACCCTGGGAGTTTCAATCAGCTGGTGGGGTCCCTGTCTCCCTGCGGGCTGGGGGGGCCACCAGCCAGAGGGATGCAGGCAATTGCACGAGCCTTGCCTAGCGTAACAGGTCCATGCTGGAGGGAGCGCTCTAGGGTGGAGAGCAAGCGAGGGGCCGGTACGTACTAGCAGCAGCAGCACGTTACTGGAGATGGCCACATTGAACGGCTGGAACTTGTTGATTGCTGCGAAGGAGGTCACTTCCACGAGGGTGTGCGGATTCCTGGAACAGAAGACCCCCGTTCTCCACCACGCATCCCCCAATCCCAGCTGGTGCTGACCTGACACCCTCCGGGGTTTGTCTCTTCTGAACCCCAGCACGCTGGGCCAAGGACCCAGGAGAGTTGGGGGCGGGGAGTAGCCTTTTGTGCTGTGGGAAAGTCAGGCTCCCTCCCTGGGGCTGGGCTCGCCGGGACAGACAGGGAGAAGGGGACGATGCTGGAGCTGAATTGTCAGGGGAGCGACAGGTGGGGACCAGGCTGGATTCAGGCAGATAGCCCCGTTCTGGTCCCAGGGAGCATTGATGCTGGGGGGGGGGGGCGGGCAATCCCAGACTGGACTAGCGGGGTGCTGCGGGACAGGGTGGAGGGAAGCCGCCAAGCCGCGCAGCTGCCTCAGAAGTAGAATGGCAGGGGGCGATACCACGGAAGGGCAGAGCTTTAAGAGCGGAGCAGCAGGAGGCGCTGCAGGTCAGGGTGGGAGGGGACGTGATGGCATTGACAGAACTCGCTCTCCCGAGAACTTTGCCAACAGCTGGCCAGAGGACGCTGGGAAGGGAGCTGCAGTGGGGCGCTACCTGGCAGAGTCCCGGCTTCCCAACGTGCAGTAACGGACGGGGGTGCGGTTCTTGCTCTCCGGTCTCTTCCCGTAGGGCCCGTTATCTGCAAAGACAAAGAGACCAGTCCCCACACAGTCCGATTTGCCCCCTGGCCCCTTTAGGACACACCGAGGGAAGGGAAGGCGGGGAGAGAGGGTTTGTGGAGACAAGTTCTCAGGGATTCATCTCACTTCCTGTGCAAGTCTCCAGACAGAATTAACCATTCTTTTACATCTGCTGTCCTGATTTGCTGATCTCCAGCTGAAGGGGATGCTGTCAGGTTAAAAATCAAACCAGGGAGGCAGTGTGACCTAGTAGACAGAGCAGGGGACTGGGACTCAGGGGACCTGGGGTCTGATTCTGGTTCTGCCACCAGCCTGTGCATGACCTTGGGCATGTCACGTCCCTGCTCTGTGCCTCAGTTTCTCTATCTGTAAAATGGGAATTATGATCCTTTTTAAAGTACTTTGAGATTGATGAGAAATGATAAGAGCTAGGGATTATTATTAACAACAAATAACCCATTTCCTCCTCTCTGTGACCACCTGAGATCGCTACAACAGGACAGACAGCCCATTAGACAGAATAAAATTGTATATAACTTTCATGCTTCAGGGCATAAGCGAACCACTGCCTGCCTGGGGTCAGGAAGAAACATCCCCTAAGGGCAGGTTCTCCCATAACTGCCGTTTGCAGCATTCCTCACCTCTTCCTCTGAAGCATCTGATGCTGCCACTGTCCCATTTGCTGCCAGCATGTTCACTCTGCTTGTGCGGTGTTATTTGATTTGTATTGTGGTAGCGCCTAGGTGCCCCAATCATGGACCACTGTGCTAGGTGCTGTACAAACATATGTGTTTCCCTAGCCCCCCTACCCTTTGTCTGCCTGTGTACATTGTAAGCCGTCCAAGGCAGGGACTGTCTACTGCTCTGTGTCTGGGCGGTGCCTAGCCCAGTGGGGCCCTGGTCTTGGTAACTCCTGACAATTCAGTTGAAAAAGAGGCAGGACACCGAACTTGTTGGAGTCACCAGTCTGACCCAGGGCAGCAATTCCTACGCTCCCGAAGAAGCTTTAAAAATCCAGTTGGCGCCTTGCTATTGGTGCTGATTGCTTATCTTCTGCGGTTCTCTCCGCCTAGAGCAGGGGTGGGCAAACTACGGCCCGCGGGCTGGATCTGGCCCGCCAGCCGTTTTAAGCCGGCCCTCGAACTCCCGGCCCATGGGAGCTTTGGGGGAGGTACCCACAGGCGGGAGCAGCGCACGGAGCCCTCTGCCCCTGCTCCCACAGGGGCCGCAGGGACATGGGGCCGGCCGCTTCCGGGAGTGGCGCGGGGCCCACGGCGACCACGGGGGGGGCAATCCCGTGGGCCGGATCCAATGCCCTGAGGGGCCGGATCCGGCCAGCGGGCCGTAGTTTGCCCACCCCGGTGTAGATGTACTCCACTAGCTTTGCGTTAGCTAGATCCAAGCTAGCTCACATTAACAATCGCCGCAAACCTGCAGCCACGCCGACGGGGGCCGCTCCAGTTCGGAGCCAGGATCCTAGGCGGGCAGGGCTAGCCCGGGCAGCTGCCAGGGCTTCACTGCTATTGTTATTCGAGCTAGCTCCACCAACACTAGGTCGGGGGGTCTACACAGGCTGCAATCTGACCTCCCGACTGCAGTGCAGACAGACCCGAAAATCCTCCTGGAGACAAGGCTCCGTCGTTTTTTCACCTCCCTGTAGCTGGTGGAAGCCAACCCCAGGGAGAGGGGCCTAGGGTTGGCCTGGACCAGTGCCAGCGAGGTAAAAACCACCTGCACCTCATCTCTGCTCGACTTGGAGCTTGCCAAGGCCATGTTAGACCCGTCTGTGTTCTGCAGCGAGGAGGCAGAGAGATGCAGGGTGGCAGCTTCGGGAGGCAGGGGCTGCAGAGGGGAAGGCTCTCGCACCCAGTGCCGAGGCAGGGACTGCGGGCCTAGATGGGCAGAGGAATCAGGGAAAGGGAGACGCGAGCTGGAAGGTCTAAGAATTACCCTGGTCAGTCCAAATCCCACCCCTTAGACTCCTGCCATGGATCGGAGCAGACCAGACCCCGCAGCCCCAGCGTGGAGCAGGCTGTTCTGAGCCTTTGACCCAGCGTTACCAGCGTTGTGTTGCTCCACCAGGCTCTTGCTTTGGTGCTTCCTGCTTTTCTCCTCCAGTTTCTTGCCAAGCGCAGGCTCCGAGATGGCGATTTTACCTTCCCTGGCCTCGTCCTCCTCCTCCTCGGCCAGTTCCTCCTCCTCCCCTTCGCTCACCAAACTCTGCAGGGCAGGGAGGGAGAGAGGAGGAGATGTGGCAGGACAAACAGCCTCCCTCCACCCCAGCTTGAGCACGGAACTGGTGCTTCTTACTCACCACCCATCCCAGACCCCCAAGGACGCCTATGCTCCTGGGTCCAGCTCACTGCCCCTGCAAACGGACATTTTGCAGGGGCAGAGCCTCCCCCGGGCACCCTCTGCTGGCACAGTGACACCAAGAAGCAACTCCCCCCAGCACCTCCATGGGGTCTGATCCCAGCCAGCAATGCCCCAGGGCCGCTGCGCTGCCCATTCCCTCAGGCATCCAAATGCCTGCCAGTCTAGGTAATTAAGGTCCAGTTGGGAGACTCCCAGCCTCCCTCCTGCTCTCCTGGGGTTCAGAGCTCAGCTGCTCACACGAAAATCCTTCCACGGGTTAATCACCCTCCCTGGCAAAAATGTACACATAGTCTGAATGTGTCCAGTCTGACACAGTCTTATTTCCAGTCTGAATGTGTCCAGCTTCATCTTCCAGCCAGGCGCTGGGTCAGCCCTTTCTCAGCGAGATGGAAGAGCCCGTTATTATATATTTGTTCCCCAGGTAGGTTCCTATAGGTACTAACTGCCGAAGCCCCTTTAAAAACCTAGAGAGACACGGTGGGGGGAGGTCACATCTTTTATTGGCCCAACTTCTCTGGGTGAAAGAGACCAGCTTTTGAGCCCCACAGACCTCTCCTCCAAGCCTGGCTCTCCTTCGCCATGAGGAGCTGGTCCCATGACAGATGTTACCTCCCTCACCTTGTCTCCAAAATCCTGGGGCCAACACACTTGAAAAGCTAAGGTGTGAGTGCGCCTCTTTGCAGCAACGGGGTATAACAGCCTCAAAGGGGGGTTCATCATATTCGAGACGTTCCTGCTGACTCAGCTCCCCCGGGGCCCAGGGGGCAAACAAGGGAGGGGGGGCGCCTGGCTCACCTCCTCGGCCGCGGGGGCATTGGGCTGGTGCTTCTTCAGCCAGGCCGCCTTGCACTGGTCCAGCTTCTGCCCCTTGTACCTCACCGAGGCCCACCCGCAGCCCGATTTCTTCGCCGGGTTCACCAGCTTCTTGCAGTACGTGGCCCAGGCGCTGGGTGAATTGAACACCTGCCCCGTCTCCTGCCAGGTGATCTTCCCGTCAGGCAGCAAGTCCCCTAGGAACTTCTTCCCCTGGGAGAGCAGGAGGGAAGCAGCAGGATCCGTTAACACACTGGCACGGGGGGGGAACCCGCTGGGGAAGGCCCAGCGAGGAGAAGGAGGGCAGGGGATTCACCGGTCACTAGAGGTGCCCCGAGCGTTGCCCCTCAAGAGGGTGTGCAGCCACCAACCCAGGAGCCCTGCTCTCCACTACCTCTCAGACCCGACTCGGAGAGCAGCAGGCGCTCCCCTCCTCTCCCCTCCCCGCCACTCACCAGGCTTGGTACAGGAGCACATGGCTCCCGGGTCGAATTCACCAGCACCAAAACCCCACTCTGGACCCTGAAGCGGATCCAGGCAAGACCCAGGCCTGGGGGGGCTCAGTGCAGTGGTGGGGAACCAGGAGCCTGCATGTGGGGAAGAAGCTGGAGTCAAGGGGGCAGGGAAGGGATGGCGAGGCACGGAGGAGTCTGTCCGAGAAGCAGGAGGAAGATCAGAGAGCCCCCGCAAGCCCCCTGTGGTGCTTCCTGCTTGGGGCTAGTCCACCTCTGCTCGGCCCTATGGCTGCAGGCTGGACCCCAGCATCTAAGTCACCATTAAAGAGGCTGTTGGAACAAAGGGCAGCAGTTCTGGAGCCGTGGGCACCCCCAGGGAGCCCCAGGCCCGCACCAGCACCCACCAGTGGCGAAGGAGCACCAGCCCAGTGCACTCTGCCCTCACCAGGTAGTAGATGGAGAGCACGCCCGCCCCCGGCTCGATCAGGCCGTCCTTGAGCAGCACGCGCAGGGTGATGCCGCGCCGGGTGAGGATGCAGCTGCGCCCCCCTGGGGCCGGCTTCCCGGCGCTTTCATTCTCAGGGTCTTCCAAGCTCGTCTCCAGCTCTTCCTCATCCTCTTCCAGGCACTCCTCCGCTCCAGGAGAATCGGCATCCAGAGCTGGGAAACAAACACCACAGCCTGACCTGGGGAAGTGGGAGTCAGGACTCCTGGGTTCCATCCCCAGCTCCAGAAAAGAGCATGGTCTATGGATCAGAGCAGGTGACAAGGAGTCAGGAGTCCTGAGTTTTGTTCCTGGCTCTGAGAAAGGCGTGAAATCTATCCACTAACACCCCATCTCTAAGTGTCATATCTAGTGGTTAGAGCTAGGACCTGTGGGCCACAGAGCCCTAGTCTCACTCCAAAGTTCACCACCTGTGTGATGTCAGACAAGCCATTTCCCCGCTTTGTGCCTCAGTTTCCCCATCTAAACTGAAGATGGTAATGCTGATCTACTTAACAAGGGGCTGGGGAGTCTGAACTCAGTCAAGCTTGCAAAGTGCTTTGAGATCCTCAGATAGGTGGGATATGGAAGGATACAGGATCAGTATAATAACTCATGAGAATAAACCAATGAGTCTCTTAAAGGGTAACTGTTAAAAACCCCAAACATACCATGGCTTTACCTGAGATCTTAACAACCTGGGCGATTTTTAAAACTAAAAAAGAAATTTTAAGGCCTAAATTTTCAGCAAGGACTAGTGATTTTGCGTGCCCATCTTCAGGCACCTTACAGGGGGCTGAGGGGCAGAGGGGTGGGCATGCAGCACCTCCTGGAAATCAGCCCCCTCTGAAGGGTCTCAAATCAGGTCCCCAAAATCCCTTGTTGCCTTTGAAAATTTGGCCCCTAAAACTGCTTTTCACTATTAAGTCCCCCCAAAAAGGAGGAGGGGGTTAGACAGCCCCTTGGCTCTGCAAAGGCCTGCAGGGGGACCTTGGATAAGTCACTGCCCCCCTGTGCCTCAGTTTCCCCATCTGTACAATAGGGATAATGCTGCTGCCCTCCTTTGTAAATTGCTTTTAAGGTCAACAGATGGAAAGGCCCAAAGAGGAGCTAGGGATGATAATTATTATCTTTATCATAAATCCAACAGGCTATTTTAGTGCCACCTTAAGTGGCTCGCTCAAGGAGTTTGTGGGTGGGCCAGGAATTGAACCAGGACCCAGCCCAGTGCTTGACGCTAGCTCCTACCCTCCCGTGACTTGGATGGAGCGCTGCTGATTTTCCTCCCCGAGGAGCTGGGCCCTTATAGATTACTTCTCTGGGAGCATCTAGCCCAAGGAGATGGAAAGCCAGGCTTAAAAAAAAAAAAATTTTAAGGCCTAAATTTTCAGCTGGTCAATATACAGCACTTTAGCTGCAGGTTGCATCTACTTCCTAAACTTCCTGGGACAGTTTCCCTTGTACCAGGACAAGCCTCTTTTAGAAGGAAAAAAGAAAACCAGGTACCCGCTGTTCGGACTGCCATGCACCCCTCCACCACCCCATACCCCAGAGTCCTGCTTATGCCAATCCAACCCTTGTCACCCTGCCCAAGTCTCCCTGCTGGGACCCCTTGGGGAGGAGACGGAGCTGGATACCCCACCAGCCAAAGGCACCTACCACCTGCTTTTCTGAATGGCTGGCAGGTGTATTGTGTGGGTTAGCTAGGAAGAATCCTCCCCCCACCACCCAGAGAGTTGGCTACGTGGCCCCTGGCTCCCCGCCAGAGATGCCCGAGCACAGGGAGCAGGCGTGCCTGCGTGGGCAGGGCCCTGCCAGACAGGTGGGTCCCGGTCGTCCGACTCACGCCAAGCAGGGATCGGCACAGAAACCATCACAGCTCATGGCTGTGCAGAGCCCTTGCGCTTGAATCGCTTGCCAGCTGGGTTTGCCTGTCCCAACAGCCCAGCCTCCCTCTTAGAGCCGAGTTCAAACTGCCTGAGAACCCTGGTTTGAATTCGAAGGGCAGTTCTGATGCCGTCGCCTTTGGCCCCTTTCCCGGTCACACACGAGGGCTGCCAAGTGCCAGAGTGTCCCCAGGGCAAATCCCTCCAGAAGCCAGTTTGGAGCCTGAATGTCCACCAAGACCAAATCCCAACTGGCCCATTCGAGAATAAAATTTCCAGCCGGCGCTCGTCACCTAAACCGCCCAATCAAGGACCAGCAACGCTACCATGTGACCCGACTAATCCCACACCAATGGGGGCTATCGGGCGCGTGCTGGGCCTGGGAGGGGGAGAGCCACGAAGAGTTTTCAATATGCAACAAATCGGAGAATTTCACGGACAATTCGCAAGCTGGGGAAAGGGGGCAGCATCTGCTCGGGTCAGCATTCGGTGCCAATTTCTGGCTCTGATCCGCCCACCTTCTTCACTAGCCCCGGGGGGGGCTCCAGCCTTGCCACATTATCTCAAAGTGGTCCAGAGGCCACATCAATATTTGACCTATTTGCCGAGGCTCCAGGTGGGTGGAGCTCTGACCCTGGCTAGGGCTGCTACATCCCAGCAGACAACAGAGCCGCCCGAGCTACCCCAGGTTACCGAGCAGCTGCTCCTGGGGCTGCAGGGCAAGGGGGTGGGAAGTAGCTGGGGAGGCAGCGCCCCCTTCTGCCTCCCCACAGCAGTAGGGCAGATTCCTAACACGTCAGGTGAAAGGCCCCCGGGGAGGTTAGTGTCAATTCAAAATGGCGTGTTTCTCGGGCCACACGACGGCTTGCTGCACTCTGTGCCCGTCCCTGCTCTCGCCCAGTGCCCGCGTCTCCCCCCCGGCCACCTAGCAGCTGCAGCCCAGAGGAGCCGTCGAGCCACAGGGGCAAACCTCCCGCTAGTCCCTGCGGACGGCCAGTGCTCCCCGCAGGTTGCCAGTTTGGCCAGAGCAGGAGAAAAGCTTTGTAACAATCTGAGCTGGGCCTTAACTCGCAGCCCTGTTCCACCGGGTGGGGGGGAAGAGGCCACTGCCCTAAACTCTGATGGGGGGGGGCATTATTCTATAGCTCCCTTGCCATGAGGCACATGGGGCTGGAATGAGTGTGTGTCTGTGTGCGCGGGGGGGGGGGGGGGGGAAGAGTTCATGGAGCTCTCACTCTTCATGCTGAGCAGGTGGCTGCCCCCCTCCCAAACAGAAATGGTGATTCTGGGGCTGGGAGATCCAAGTCCCCCCTCTATCCCTCCCAGGACTGGGGACTCTGTGCACCCCCCCCTGCAGGACTGGGGGCTCTGTGCACACCCCCCCCCGCAGGACTGGGGGCTCTGTGCACACACCCCCCCCCCCGCAGGACTGGGGGCTCTGTGCACACACCCCCGCAGGACTGGGGGCTCTATTCCCACACTCCGGCCAGGAAGCCCCCATGGCTCAGGAAGGGCCGGTCCAGGCCAGCCTCTCCCAGGAATTGATGTCAGACGCGGGGGGCAACCCCTCTGCCACTCCCACCCCCAGCGGAGCTAGGGGACACCCGAGGCAGGTGGATGAAGCCAGGGGGATCTTTCCAAGCAGGAACAGGACCTTGGAAAGGGACCTGCAGCTGGAGGGATGCAGGGGGAGGACGGGGGGGTGCGCTGGGGGGGCAGGCAGCGGGGAGTGGGCAGCTGGAGGCACGCAGAGAGAGGACTGGGGGAGAGGGGGGGCGGCCGCGCGCGGGGGTCTGCAGCCAGGGCGGGTTGCGAAGGAAGGGGGGGTAGCGGGGGGGGCGGGACCCAGCCCAGATAGGGAGGGGTGCAGGCGCGGGGGGGGGGGGCGGGAGCAGGAGGGGAGACGGGCCCCCCGGGCCGGTACCTGCCATGGCTCCGCTCGGCCCCGGTTCCTGTTGTTCCTCCCCTCGGCGCAGGATGAATCAGACACTGGGGCTCCGGCGGCGGCTTCTTCCCAGCACGTGATGATGCGGCCCCGCTTGTCTCCGCCTCCCGCTCCCCAGCCGGGGACACCCAGCCCCGGGGAGAGCCCGGGGAGCCCCGCGCGGGGGGCCGGGCATGGAGGGTGCACGGAGCTCCTGGCGGGTGGAGGTGGGGCGGGGGCATGGAGGGAAGATCGGACGTGGTGGGGTCTGTGGAGCCCCGGGGGGGTAGTGGGGGGGTGCATGGAGCCTGCAGGGAGAGATGGGGGATGGTGGAGGTGTATGGAGCTCCTGGGGGGTGCAGTTGGGGGGGGCGGGGCATGGAGCCCCCCCACTTTGCAAACACCGGATCCAATCAGCTGCAGGTCCCTAGCTCCCATTTGCCCCACTCTTCCCACTAACTCCCACTCCCCTCACAGAGTTGGGAACAGAACCCAGGAGTCCTGACTGCCCCTCCCCCCTGCTGTAACCCATTAGACCCCACTCCCCTCCCTTATTCAGTTAGAATCAACTCATTTGACCAGCGGATACTATTGTCAGGGTCCTGGGTTCTATTCCCAGCACTGTCCCTGACTCTGGCTCACTCACTCCGTGCCTCAGTTTCCCCCCTTTGTACATCAGGGTAGGGGGAGAATATTAACCTCTCCCACCAGCGCGCTGTGCGGATAAGTTAACCTCTGAAGGTGAAAGGAGCGATATTTATTTGTAACCTCAATTATGCCTAAGCCAGGGGCGGCCCCACCGGCAGCTAACCCTGTGATGTGGGGCTGCGGTGGAAAAGCGGCTGACAGCGTGATCCCGCCATTCTGCCACCAGAGGGCGCCTGCTCTGTGTGTCTTGGGCATTGTTCCTCAGAAGGGCAGAAGGAAATAAATAAATATTTTCTCTTGCAACAAACAGGATCCAGACGCGCCGTCTTCCTGTCAGGTGCACTCAGGGCTCCAGGGGGCAAAATCCAACCCCAGCCACAGATAATACAGACAATTCACTCTCCAGGAGCCAGCCACCCAAGACTGGGCCTTAAACAACTGGGCGCCACCTTGAAATGGTTTCAGTTTCATAGCAGGAGTCTGCAGCCGCCAGTTTTGCTGTGGTTTTAATGTTTTTTTTTCTCTCTCCTGCGTGTGTGTGAAAGACCCACACAGACAGCAGGGCCGGCAGCGACACTGGCTGCGGGCAGTGACCTGTCAACAGCACAAAGCGAGAGGAAAACAGACAAGAAAACAGGTTTTCTCCTTTCATCTTTTTCAGGCCATGCCACCTTTGGCACTTGCTAGTCACACCAGGAGGTAACGAACAGGTGATGAGATGCACAAGACTGATTTCTAAGTGGACATTGGCCCCTCTGCAGTTCTAATCGTTCTAATCTCTGAAACTATTCATCTAATTGGCACAAGCCAGCCAGCGTCAGTTCCACGAAGTGCAAGAAGCTCTGACCAGTGGCCCATGCCAATTATGCAGTCAATCGATTTTTGACCCCACTGGTGCATGAAATGTGGGGCAAGGGACACAAGCAATAAAAGCAGGATCATAGAAGAGACCTCAGGAAGTCATCTAGTCCAACCCCCTGCACAAAGCAGAACCAATCCCCAATTTTTGCTTCAGATCCCTCAATAGCCCCCTCAAGGATTGAACTCCCAACCCTGCGTTTAGCAGGGCAATGCTCAAACCACTGAGCTATTCCTCCCCTGAAAACTCAAGAATTAACTGATCTTGGATTAGATCCAAATCTTATTGCAAGTGCTTTGGGGCAGAGACTTATTATATGTTTGTACAGCACCTAGCGCAGTGGGAACATCAAACAGGCTGAAGCCCCGCAGGTACGACAAGCAGGATAAATTGATAACACTTCCATTGACTTCAGCCTTCATCTTTTGGTTCCTTAAGTCCAGCACCCTTTAAACAATTTTTCTGCTAAGATTTGTTTTCCTTAAGGGTTTGGAGGAATTCCAGGGATCGATACATGGAATTAAGGCCAGAAGGGTTTGACTGTAAGCAGTAATAGTCCATTATCCTCTTTGTCTTTTTGCAGCCAAAAGCCACTGGAAACAAACTCGCAAGACGCCAAGTTAGAATCGTATGGGATCCGTTCCTACAACTGGATTTGGCCAGGCTTGCATCTGCCTGGATCCAACTGCAGGATTGGGCCCAGACTGTGTACAATTTGCAGATGTCAAATGCCCCGTTTTGTTGCCAGGTTAGGCTCTGTCAGTCATTTGAGAAACTAATTGGAAATGCAATGATAATATTTAATTCTATTTCTGGCTCTCCCCTTTTACCGTCCTTACAGCCCCAATCTGACGTTTCTTCTGAGAAAATTCAAAATAGGATCTGAGGCTTTGTTTAAAAAAAAGAAATGATCCTGCTGGTGCAAAAAGAAAGGACTAAATTGAAATTGGAGTTTGTAAGACGTACAAAGAGTTGGAAATGACAGTGAATGAGTTAATTAAAAATGAAACAATCTAATCTTTCCTGGCCTATTTACGATCATTATTATGAACTGGGTTTCTCCTGGTGTTTACTGGGGAGCGTGGTGTTCGGTCATCACTCAGTGCTTGCAAGAGATCGCTTTACGGGTGTCTGTCCAAGGGCCTGTGCATAACAAGAGTGGCACAATGCGCCGCCCAGCCTCTCCTTCTGGGAAGCTCAGCCCTTAACAGCATAGCTGCCAGTAACACAGGCTGGGGAGGATCTGAATTTTGACCTTCTCGTGGCTGGAGATTCCACAATACCTGTTTTCAGCTCTGCCAAGTTCCTCATTCCGCTGCAAGGTTCAGATGAGTTTAGTCGGTATTTTTCTGGGGATTTCCTTTAGTTGTTTAATTACTCCTGCAGGGTTCCAACCTGCGCTGTTAACTTTGCTGGGCTTTGCTGACGCTGAGATCCCCCCTAAAATCTCTCCCAATGGGGACAGGCTGCTGGCCTTTTTACCAGCGCTCTGCTCGGAGCAGGGTTAGATGGTGGGGTGGCTCAAAAGCCAGTGGCCTGTCTTAGGGAGCTGGGGGGAGCTGGCAGCTGCTGTGCAAGAGGCAGAGGCTGCAGGGGGGAAAGTGCAGGCTCTGTGGCATGGGGCCAGGGAGATAGGAAGTGTCAAGAGTCCAGGGAGCATCCCCAAATACCCGCACTTTCACAGTCCCCATCTGCAGGCCAGGTAGCTGGGGCTGTGTGAGTCCTAGACTCTGTTCAGGGAATCTCAGGGCACCCAGCATTGAGCAGGGCAGTATCTGAGTGATGCCATCCCCTCAGGGTGGCTACTATGGGTGGGTACCTGGGACGCTCTCAGCACCCCTCCGGCTGGACTTCCTAGCTGGGAGAATGCGTCCCACGCTCTCCGCCCAGCCCGCCAGCCTTCTGATTGTTGGGGTCGGCTCCTAGCACTCTCACTCTGGGGGGGGGGGGAGTGGGGGACTATACTCCTGCTCTCCCTCAGCCCCCTTTATCTGTGGGGTGGGGTCCTCTCCCGTGAATGGGACGTTAACATGATTGCTGCCCCACTGTTCAGAACAGCAGCTGTGAAATCGACCGGGCCAGGCACCAGGCTGTACAGACAAACTGCAACCACCAGGCCCAGGCAGTAGTTGGGAACAGGGAACTTACCGGCCAGGCCCAGCGTGGCCACATGTTGAAGCGGGCCCTGGTTTAGCGGAGGAGAGAGGCCTGGGTTTAGCGGCCGTCCGCCCTCCCGCCTAAACCGCAGGCCGATCCTAGAGCCTGTGGCTTCCGGCTCCAATCGGGTCGAAGCAGCAGCTACTGGTTCTAATGGAACCGGCCTGTGCTCAGGCTTGTCTCGCTGTTCCCTTGAGCTCTGTGTCCACCTCTTGGCTCTGATCTTCTACTGACACTGGAAGCTCTTTGGGGCAGGGACTCTCTCTGTTCTGTGTGTGCGCGGGGGGGTGGGGGCGGCTAGGCGACCGCAGTACAGGTAATAACCCTACTCATAACAATGCCGGCTTGGCAGCTCTTGCATGAAAACCCAAATCACCCGATCAAAGCAAATCACCTCCCTGGTGGCAGGGGGCCTGACTCCAGCCCCCCAGGCTTTGTGTGGGGGGGACATTGGTTCAGGGGGCTGAATTCCCCCTGCCTGGAGCGGTGCACAGAGCAGTGGGGAGCTGTGCTGGGCAGCGGGTTCAAGCAGACTGAAGGAGGGGAGTCTTGGGCCAAACCAGTTCAAAGAGGACGAGGGAGCTATGTGGAGTTCTGCTTTCCCAGGCCGGGGCGAGGGGGAGCAGTGGGGGGGAAGGGACTTTGCTTTCCCAAGCCCAGGGGGGGCAGTGGGGGGGTTCTGCTTTCCCAGGCCGGGGCGAGGGGGAGCAGTGTGTGTGTGGGTTCTGCTTTTGCAGGCCGGGGGGAACAGTGGAGGGGTTCTGCTTTCCCAGACCGGGGCGAGGGCGAGCAGTGGGGGCGGGCTTTGCTTTCCCAGGCTAGGGGGGAGCAGTGGGGGGGGGGTTTCTGCTTTCCCAGGCCAGGGCGAGGGGGAGCAGCGGGGGCGGGTTTTGCTTTCCCAGGCCAGGGGGGAGCAGTGGGGGGGGGTTTCTGCTTTCCCAGGCCAGGGCGAGGGGGAGCAGTGGGGATGGACTTTGCTTTCCTAGGCCAGGTGGGGAGCAATGGGGGGGGGGTTCTGCTTTCCCAGGCCGGGGCGAGGGGGAGCAGTGGGGGGGAAGGGGCTTTGCTTTCTCAGGCCAGGGGGGGAGCAGTGGGGGGGTTCTGCTTTCCCAGGCCGGGGGGGGAGCAGTGAGAGGGGGTTCTGCTTTCCCAGGCCAGGGCGAAGGGGGAGCAGTGGGGGGGGGCCTCTGCTTTCCCAGGCCAGGCCGGGGGGGGGGAGCAGCACCCCCCGTAATGGCCCCGGTCGGGCAGGTGCGCGGCGCGGCGCCTCCTCCCAGGCCCGGGGCTGGGACTTGCCTGCGCTCCCTGGCCCGCTCACCTGCGGGGAGCCGGGCGGCCCAATCAGGTGCGCGCATGGGAGGGCCCGGCCCGGGCTGCAAAACCCCCACGACGCCTGGTTCTTTTTCCGCCCGCGCTTCCTGCTCCGGGGCTCCGGGCGCCGTGCGGGAGCCTCCCCTGCGCCCTCTGCCCGGCCCGGGCCCCGAGCCGGCGGCGAGATGGCCCTGCGGCCCCCGCTGCGGGGCGCCAAGCCCAAGCCCAGCCTCCCCCCCCACTACTACGAGGGCTTCCTGGAGAAGAAGGGGCCACAGGACAAGGTAGGCCCCCCCCCCCGGGCTGGGACCGGGGCTGTGGTCGGCCGGGGCTTGGGCAGGGTCAGGCTCTGAGTTGCCAAGGGCTGAGCCATGGCCTTGAAGCCTCTGGTGTCGTCTTTCCCCCCACCCTAACCCCTGGCCCGCTCTGCCACACCAGCGCCCTGGCGCGGAGAGATCCGGGCAAGGAGCCAGCTCAGGGTGAAAGAAGCTAGAGCCCCCCCTCCCGAAGTGGCCCCGATCCCAAAGCCCAGGATCAGGCTCTCCAGGACTTTGCAGCGAGTCGGACTCTAAACCACAAGCCAGGGCTGAACTTTGCAGGCAGGACTGGATCTGCCAGGTGCCTCCCCGCAAGCTCTGGGTGCTCAGATACCCTGGGGACAGGTCTCCTAGAATCGCCTGCCGTGGCTGGATCGGGCTTGCCTAGGCATGCCGTTGTTCCGGCATAACGATTACCCTTTAAATCCACTTCCTACCTTAATCTGAATTCACTTTCAGGTGTAGATGATAGATGGGCAGAAGCCAAATGCAAACTCGCAAAGCCAGATGTTACTGGCAGCCCCCATTTTCCTGACAAGCTAGGGCAACCACAGGCTTTGGGGTACGTGAAATCCTGTTTGGACTTGAGCCTGTTTCGCTTGTCTAGACAAGAAAGTTGCACTGCTTTAACCTAAGGTGTGGCTTTAAACCAGTGCACTGCGTAGTGTGAACCCACTTATTTCAGTTTAGCTCAAGCCGGTTTCTAATCGACTTTTGCTAAACCGAAATCTGCTTGGTTTAACCGGCACTCAGGGCGTCCACACAGCCTCTGGCCCCGGTTTAAATTCACCCTTTGAGTTAAACCAATGCAGCTTTCTCACGAAGACCGGCTCTTAGAAACAGCAGCCCCTGAGCACTGCAGCTAGCCCCAGTGTTAGGGTAATCCAAGCGGCAATGGCTGGGAAATCCTGGAGTACGTGTGTAAAAGGGAGCGCAGGGCCCAGTGGCGGGGGGTGGTGGGCTGTTGGACAGGCGATACTTCCTCCAGCTCTGTGGAAGTGCGTTATCTGGTCTGCCTGGTGAAGGCTTCCTGTGCTCGCGGGTGTCTGTTCCATCGCAAACCCTCCTCTTGCCAAAGCTGAGCCCCCTGTCACTTTCTACCACGTGGTTTGCCTGGGTCATTCTTTTTGGTGGTCATTGGACGAAGTATGAGCCTGATCCTCGAGACGCGGATTGATGTAGCCGGGCCCTTAAGTGCTGGGCACCAGTCTGACAGGCCGAGAGGTGGCAATTCTCTTTCCGAACACTGCAAACGATCCGCCACTGAACCACACTTGGACATTTAAATACGTTTGCCTGGGCTCCATTTGTTAACCTGGCTGCATTTATGGCCCCTAAACATTCCTGCCGTCTAGATTTCTGAGCACAGCTCTTTCTGGCATGGAGATAAGACGCTGTCGCGTTCACACCCTATACCTAATGGGAATGGAGGCGCCCCTCCAGGTAGGGGACAGACACCACGCCATGTGACGTGCAGGCTGTTTGTCCCAGATGACGTCTTTCACCAGCTTGCTGGCATGGGATAAGGACGTCTCAGCAGGCAGTGTCATCCTCTCGGGATGGCTGAAAAAATCTGGGGTCTCTTTAAAAGCCTGGAGAATTCTAGACCCTCAGAGTGTGGGAGTGAGATGCGATGAGCGGCATTATCCCGTTAGTATGGGGATGGGTAGTGACCCTATACGCGACCCGTAGGAATAACCTTTGAACTGTACACTGCACTCGCTCGGCTCCTTTCCAGCCCTACATCTTGGGGTGGTTTACAAAGGTGGGTGAGGAGCATCAGCTCCATATTAGAGATGGGGAAACTGAGGCACAAAGCGGGGCACCGACTTGCCCAAGGTCACCCAGTGAGTCCGTGGCAGAACCAGGATCAGAACCCAGATCTCCTGACTCCCAGGCCCGTCCTCTTGCTGTTAAACCCGGGACTTCAAACTCACGTCAAGCACAACTTCCGCTTGTGCATAGCCACACGTGAGCGTGCCATCCCCGGTTTGTGTGACCGTGACGTGGCTGCACTCGTGTGATGCTGACGTACGCGTGGCCTTGACACGTACCCACCTACGTGTGGGGCTGCTCTATCTGGTGAGCGTGAGATGCCGGCACCCTTCTGTGACACTGACAGCCCAAGGGCAGGAGCATGATCTTGGCACGTGCATGCCCATGGCTGTGGGTGAATTTGGCACATTGGGGCCCATCGGGGCCAGTGCAGCGCTGGTGGCAGGGGCGGGCAACGGGGGCAGAGGCTGCAGAACCTTTATTGTGGGTCACAACACTTCGCTGTTGATGGCGAACAGGGAACAGTGATGGCCTTTGATTTCTGAGCCCTCCCAACCAGCCCACGCATGATGATGTCTGGGCTCTGCCCTCCCCCACGGGCCTTTGGCAGCTGATTCTGACTTGGGGCTGCCATGTCAGGCCGGGCCAGCATCAGCCTGCGCCGAGAATCGGCCCTTTCTCCTAGGCTCTGCCCTCGCAGGACCCCACCAGGCTGCCCCTGTTCCGGGGCTCCCACACGGCTGGAGAAAAACACACGACAACGCGTCGTTCGGCGGCTGAGGGAAGCCAAAGCAGCCCCCTCCGAGACCAATCCTCTGCTCCGGCATGGCGGGCGCGGGGATGCTGGCCTGGCTGGACCAGCTGCCCCGGCAGGGCAGAGTCCACCGTGCAGAGATGGAACTAGGCTGCAGGGAGAGGGGGTGGGCACTGTCATTCCATAGACACCCCCCCTCCCCCCAAAGAGCTGATTCGCTGTCCCCCCCTACGTAACATCCCGGGAACATTCCGCTGCAGGTTCCTGGCCATGCCAGGTTTAGCACAGGGCTAGGGCATTGTTGGGGGGCAGGTATCTGCACAGTGCATGCTCACTAGGGGCCTCCCTCCCCTGGGCTGGCCCCCTCTGGTCCCAGCCTCCAATGCCCCTTTGCTCTGTCTTTGCAGGGGTATAAGAAATACTGGACAGGCCTGCAGGGGCTCACGCTGTATTTCTACAACACCAACCGAGACGTGCAGGTACGCAAAAGCCGCCCCACGGAGGAGCCGCTCTGTGGCACTCCCCGGTCAGACCTGGGAAAGCCTCATGGGGGGGCTCTGTCTCCTCGAGGTCTGATCCTGGCAGGTGCCCAGCCACTGGGAGCTGAGGGTGCTCAGCAACCTCTCTGGATCAGGATCTCCTATCTCAACTCTCCTGGTGGCCTCCAACCCTGGCTGGGGGACATCCTTCCTGGGGAGGCTCGGCTTGCTGGGGGTCTGCCATGCCCATGTGGGTGGCGAGGGCCTCGATCCCTCCGACCTGGGAAAGAGTCCCTTCTCCCCCCCCCCCCCACCCGCCCATGGGGATGGCCGTTCCCTAGAGCCACCATTAAGGGTGAGAGGCTTGCTTAGCCTGCGCGGCCATGGGCCTGGTGGCTGGGGAGCCAATTGGTGCCCACGGCAGGGGTGGGTTTGGTGACGTGGGCACCAGTCCACTGAGACCCAGCCGACTCCTGTCAGCCATGCTTCTGAGCAGGGCTGGATTTGAACCAGCAACCCAGAAGTGTTCACACACCCGCATCCCAGAGAAGAGGTGGGGGGCAGCCAGCCAGGCAGGGCTCCCTAGCGGGCATCTCTCTGCCCTGACTTCCTAGGGCCCTGCTCTGGGTTGCAGGAGTGGGGCTGGCTGATTTTCCCCCGCACTGATCTGTGCTTCGCCCTCCACAGTACGTGGAGAAGATCGACCTGGACAACTTCGTGTCCCTGACCGACAGCTACCTCCGGAGCGGCCCCCAGGCCAGCAACGAGGGGGTGGGGCTCAGCCTGAAGCTGAGGGGGCAGGAAGTGAAGTTAAAGGTACGTTTGCCCTGCATGGCCTCTGCCTCCCTCACCCCCACGCTCTGGGTTTTACCCCAGTAACGTGTGTTTCCCTTGCAGGCTGAGAGCCTGGAGGCTCGGGAGATGTGGAAGGGTTTCATCTTCACCATGGTGGAGGTAACGCGCCTGGCTGATGTTGGAATGAGAAATCCGTCCCCCTTGCCTGCCCTCCCTTTGGCCCCCTCCACCCGACCCAGCCCTTGCACCCCCATGTGCTCACCCCTGCCCCACACAACCCACCCCACACCTCCGCTCACTCTGTGTACTCTGTGTACACGCATGCTCGCTCCTGTCCGCCCCTGCTCACCCTAGATACACTCACCTGTGCCCGCCTCCCGCCAACCCTGCGCGTGCAGACACAGCCCTGCCCTCTCTCCTGCCCCCCGTCTCTCCCCCAGGTATCCCGTGCGGCGAGAGCTCGTCTTTGAGAGCCCTTGTCCAGGCTTGAATCCGTGTTTCTTGACAACCCTGTCAGGGCAGGTCTCCGTTGGGTGCTCTGGGCCCACCCTGGGCTCCCCTCCCAGCGGTTCCCAGCCCCGTTGTCCCATGTCGGATTCAGCCCCAGGAAGCCCTTCGTGAGGAGCCTGCCCCCTGCTGGTCAGAGTCCAGGGCTGGCAGGTGGGAGCCGCGTTGGCGCCTCCTGCTGGCTGATTCCTGGGCCGCACAGAGGGTGGGTGGGAGGACTCCCGGGCCAGGGATGGGAGCAGCACTGAGGTCCTGAGAGGGAGGTGTCAGTGGAAGCCCCCGTCTGGTCTGTAGCCCGTTGCAGGGCAGACTCAGTGTGTCGTCCCTGTCCCTGCAGATGCAAGTCCCCTCCAACCTGACGTTGCTGCCCGGCCACATCTACATGATGTCCGAAGCCCTCTCCAAAGAGCAGGAGCGACGGGCCCAGCTGAGCCAACGCCGCAGCACGAGCTCCCTCCACTACGAGTTGATGATGGAGGAGATGCCGGCGTGAGTGGGGCCTGGGCCGGAGGGAGAGCCTAGTGCGCGGTGGGCCGGTGCCTCCATCCTGCCACGTCGGGCCAGGCCACTGGTCCAGCCTGTCTGGCGTCCCCCGGCCCGTGTCGGGCCAGCTCAGGCCACTAGTCCAGCCTGTCTGGCGTCTTCCCCTCCTGCCGCACCACTGACCCATCAGTACCGGTATCCCGCTGAAGGTCCGTCTGGTTCAGCATCCTGCCTTGCAAGTGGCCAGCCCCTGGCGCCTCCCCCGGAAGCAAGCCCTTCGCCCCGGCCCATGCCAACCGACGGCCTCCTTGCCCAGGGCCTCCCGCCCTCTCAGTGCTCTGGATCAGGAGAGCCGCCTGGCCCCTGTTACCGTAGCTGCCCACGCTGGTGCCAGCCCACACTGGGGAACTGAGCAGTAGGGGGGCTTGCAGCTCACAGTCTCCCCCATCCTGATGGTCTCGGAGCTGCAATAGCCCAGAGGCTCTGGGTCACGGGCCAGCGGCTCTGGGGGGTTGGAGAGTCCCAGGTTGCCCAGGGAAGGCCTGGTGCGGTAACTGGGTCCTGTCCTTGCAGCTGCTATTTCAAGGTTTCCAGGACAGAGGCCCGGGTCCTGCTGGAGAGGAACCTGGACTGCGGCAACATGCTGCTGCGTCCAGGGGGCGACGGGAAGAGCATCTCGGTGACCACGTGTCAGATGCTGAACGGGTGAGAAGGCGGGGGATGGTCGGGGGCTTCCTGCTGGGGGGACGGGCCCAGGGCTGGAAGGGGGCAGGTCTGACACTAGCCTGCACATGGGGCGGAGTGTGAATCCTGGCACTAGTGTGTGTGTGCGTGTGTGTGTGTTTGAGGGGGGAATCCCAGTGCACGGGGTTGGGAATGTGAATCCTGGCACTAGTGTGGGGGGGGGGGAGGGGTGACCCCAGTGCACGGGGTTGGGAATGTGAATCCTGACACTAGTGTGTGTGGGGGGGAGGGGTGACCCCAGTGCACACAGGGCTGGGAGTGTGAATCCTGACACTAGTGTGTGTGTGTGTGGGGGGGTGACCCCAGTGCACACAGGGCTGGGAGTGTGAATCCTGGCACGAGTGTGTGCATGTGTGTGTGAGGGGGGAATCCCAGTGCACACAGGGCTGGGAGTGTGAATCCTGGCACTAGTGTTGAGAGGGGAATCCCAGTGCACGGGCTGTGATCACAAGCGGTGTGAGGGTCGGGTTGTGCAATCTCCCCGTCCTTCTCTTGCAGCACCCCAGTTGTGAAGCACTACAAAGTGAGCCGTGCGGGACAGCAATATGTCGTTGAGGTTGATCGGCCGGTGAGTGGGCCAGTTCTGCATCCCCACCTTATGCAAAGACTGGGCCCCGGGTCTGGGCCCCAGGGGGAACAAACGGCTCCTGGAAGCACAGCCACCAAGGAACGTCATGGTGATAGCAGGCATAGAAGCCAGGCCTTGATCACTTACGCTACAGGAGAATCTCTGTAAGCTCTATAGGGCCTAGGACACACACACACACAGCTAAGCAGTTCCAGGCAGCAGTGCCCAGCTGTGCTCTCCCATTTATCCCTGTATCATGAACCAATGATGTGGTGTCAATCTGGCATGATCTAATCTCCCCATGAACATCAGACTCTGAGTCCTTTCTTGAGCAGCCTTCTTCAACACGCAGCTCACTCACTTCCACCTTCCTGGGTCTACCTCGGCATTCCATCCTCTCCCCTCCTCTTCCCACAGCGATCCTCATGGGGCTCCTGGGGAAGCCAGAGGGTTGCACCCCAACTTGCAGTCAGACTGACTCTCACCCAGCCAGTAAAACAGAAGGTTTATTAGATGACAGAACATGGTCTAAAACAGAGCTTGCAGTGCAGAGAACACCCTCACTGGTCCATTTTGGGGGGCATAGCCAGACAACCACGTTCACTTCACTCCATTCCACCAGCCCCAAACTGAAACCCCCTCCAGCCCCTCCTCCTCTGGGCTTTGTTCCTTTCCCGCCAGAGGTCACCTGATTCCTTTTTCTCCAACCCTTCACTCTCACCTTGCAGGGGGAAAAGGACATCAGTTAAAACATTCCATTCTCTTTCCAACCCTTCACACCCTCCCTCTACTCTCAATGATCATACACCCTTACTCCACCCCCTAGATACTTAAGAACTGCATAGGGAAACTGAGCACCCCCACACTATTCAGAGGAAACATTAAGAACATCCCACTTCCACATCTCTCCCCCCTCGAGATCAACGAGCACTTTACCTGATGGAAGTTCGCCACAACTTCCCATGAGCACATCTCTCCCATTCCTTGGTAGAGTTACACACCCTTCCATTTCCCCCTCCCTTAGTCAGGTGTCGATAGCACTTGCACGCATGTGGAAGGTTTATCACCATCCCTTTGGCCACCCCAAGAATTCTCCCCATTGACCATCACCTTCTCTCCCACTGGAGTCAGGGTCCCCAAAACTCCACACAGACATATAGTTGGGGTCAGAGTGACTTCCACATCCCCAACCATCTCTGTCTATGCTGGGCCAGCAAGGGAGCTAGACACGGGCTTTTCAGCCTTGTTCAAATACCTCTCAAAACATGATGGCCCCACACCCCCCTAACAGCACAATTTATCTCGATTCTAATCCCCCGGTCTATCCCCACTCACCCCTGAGGGCCCTCCCTCCCCCCCCCCCCATTCTCTCCCTTCCTCTTCTCTCCTTCTCTCACATCCTTTCTCTCTCAACTCACTCCAATCCCTCCTCTCATCCCCGATGGGACATTAAACCCTCTTGGCAGATTTACCCCTTCACTGCTCCCAGATCTGCTATGCCCCAGTTGGGTCAGGAATTTTTTAGACATCCTCCTCACCGATTACTTCTTTGAACTTTCCAACTCAACCCTCTCTTTTGCACAGGTTACAATTCCTTCTTAAGAGATGACACACACTCCGCTCCTCCCAAGTTGTTTGACTCACAGCCCTTTTCTCACTCCCCACTTTCCAGGGAGAACCCCTAGTTGCACCCTTCTCGAGTCACCACCTCTTTGCAGTCGATCGACTCCTTCCCCTTACCCTCCCCGGGGACCTGTTTCACATCCTTCTTCTGGTCACACACTCCCAGGGTTAACCCCAAACCCTCCTCTCTGACCTTCACTTCACCCCTTCTTTACTCCCCATCACTTCTGCAGAACACCATCCACGTCATACATCCCACCCTGCACCATTTCACGATCCTGAATCTAACTCCCCATGAACATCAGACTCTGGGGCTGCTTTTTGAACTTCTTCAACCATCACTCCTTCCACCTTCTGTTGGGTTCCATCCTCGCCCCTCCTCTTCCGCACATGGGGTGGAACAGAGGGTTCACCCCAACTTCCAGTCGATTCCCCATAAAACAGAAGTTTATTAGATGACAGAACATTCTAAAACAGACTTCATAGAGAGGATCAGCTTCATTTTGGGGCTGGCACAACCCTCTGCACTTCCTCCATGTCCCACCACCCCAAACTGAAACCCCTCCACCCCTCCTCCTCTCTTTTTCCTTTCCCCCAGAGCACCATTCCTTTTTCTCCAACCCTTACTCTCCCTTGCAGGGGAAGAATCTTAGAAAGTTATTTCTGTGTAGACCCTTCCACCCTCCCTCTAGGGCAAATCATCCCCTTACTCCCCCCCTAGATACTTGAACTGCATAGGGAAACCCCACCTTTCGAGAAACTAATCCTCCCAAAAAGCCACAGGTGTAGAAATAAGAATAACCTCGACTGTTACACCAGCTAGGATAACCGTACCCGGGGCTGGCAACCCTCATGCTGCAGGGCACATGCTGACTGCCAGCTGGGGGTGTCAGCTAGGAGCAGAGAGCCCTGCAGGCCGGGAGCGCCACCCGCAGGCTGCTAGGCTGGGAGCAGGATCCCTGAGGGGGTTGTGCAAAGCCTGGTCAGCCCCTCGGTGGCAGGGGCCTGAGGGTGGCCAAAAGCCGAGGTTAACAGGATTTCCCACCCTGCCCCAGCACCGCTGCTCCTCCCTGGCTGATGTGGTGGAGTACTTCGTCTCCAACACCAAGAAGACCCTGGTGCCCTTGAGCCTGGATGAGGATTACGCTGAGAAGTTAGGTGGGTTCCCCCGTTTCGAGGGCTCCGGGTGCAAATTCTGGGCAGGGGGGCTGGGTTTGCATGGGTGGGTGAGCCAGGGGCCAGTGCATGCCAGGGGGCACAGGTATGGGTGTGTGGCAGATACCTCTGGGGAGGAGCACCTGTGTGTGTGTGTGGCGGGGGGGGGCAGGGCGCACATGGGGGAGGATGCATATACATTAGATGGCTAAGTGGGGGTGGGCAATGGGGCCTGGGTGAAAGGGGTGGGGCAGGGTGGGCCCAGGGGGGCACATGCATTAGCAGTGTGTGTCTGGGAGAGGGTGCCTGGACTTGGGAGGGGTGGGGGTGGGCAGAGGGCACATGGGATGGTAGGGCAGGGACGGAGAGGACCTGACTGCTGGGGATTCCCTCCCCCCCCACCCAGCCACCTCTCCACCCGGTCCCTTCTGCCCCCTGCCCTTACAGGGCTGCCCAGCGTCCCCCACCAGCCCCATGCTCCCCCGTGGTCAGACTCCCTCCCCTGCCAGCCCCCATAGCTCTGACCCCTCTCTTTGTGGTGTGTTTTGCAGAGTTTGTGGAGACTGATAAGGAGAACGGAGAGAGTGTCTGGGAAACATCCATGCCCCCCTGCCCAAAGCCCCCCAAAGGTGAATGTGCCCAGCCTGCTCCAGGCACCTGCTACTGGCTGCAGCTCAGGGGCCCTGGCTTGTTCCTCCAGGGCTCGGGGCTGTTCGGTTGTGAAGAATATGCATGCCAGGCCCCACAGACCTCCCATGGCCTGGCCGCAACACAGCTCTGGAGAGCTGGCACAGGGCGCCTGCAAGCTTCCCCCCCGACAGCAGTGCCCTGCCCCTGCCGGCTGGGACTCCAGCGCTGTGAGCTCCCCCCCCTAGCAGTGCCCTGATGTCTAGTGGCACCATTTTGATGTGGCATTTGACCTGTCTGGTGTGCTCATCACACACGATCGCATCCCCCACGATACCCTGCCCCCAGCCCAAGCTGAATCAGAGTGCTCCGGCCTGGCCTGCTCTCCCAGAGCCCTGTATTTTAGGGTCTGCATTTCTCCACTGCGTGCCAGCCAGTGCCCCTTACCTAACCCTGTGCCCATCTGGTTCCCCAGCCGGTGCCAAAGTGGAGGCAATGATTCCACCCACCTCCAGACAAAGTCCTCTGTCGAAGCCCCTTCCCACGCCTCCAGCGTCTGAGGAGGATCAAGAAGAGACCTACGTGAATGATGAAGGTGAGCTGGGGTCTGGGGAGATTGTGTCCTAGCTGGGTAAAATCTTGCTCCCCATCCTGGCCGGTGAATGAAATAACGCTGGCCTCATCGCTGAGTCTGGCTGGTGCGGTTCTTCAGGGGAATCTCTGGTGCCGCGTGGAAGGGCACGATCCCCTCCCGAGGAGGGACAGGCTGGGGCCGGGAAGCGGGAATGGGACCTGGTACTGGAGAAAAGTCTCCTGGGGAAACCCCAGACTGCGATCCCAGCTCAGGCTCCCCCCTCCCTCCCCTTCTCTCATGCCATTGTGTTTTTTTTCAGATGTGGCAGCCATCAAGGGAACAAAGCCAAAGCCAGCCTGCCGTGAGTAAACTGGCTATTGTGCCCGACCTTTCAGAACGGAGATAGTGTGTCGAACACAAGAGGCCACGTTGCTACAGAAGATCTATCCCCTGCCCCGCCCCCCACGCCTGGGCTTTGCACTCCCCTTTTCCCCACGGCTGCCCTTGGGGCAGGAAAATGCTCTGGCCACATGCAGAATCTGTTGCCCCAGACCAGCGATACAACTGGGAGATGCAGCACCCCTGGGAGCTCAGAGGAGGGTGAAAGGAGCCAGCCCCACTGGGGGATGCTGGGGGCTGTTGGGGCAGAGCAGTGGATCTAAGTGGCCTCCCAGAGATCAGGGACAGAAAAGGCTTTTGGACCCTCCAGTCCATGGCTGCCAAGGTGGGATGGGTCATGTCTAGTGCTCCCATCACTTCCCCTGGGAGACCGGTCCCCAGGTGGCTAGTGTAGGAGAAGGGGCTGCTCTCTGACGGTCACTGGCGAAGGGGGAGGAATCCCAGTGAAAAGAGAGGAGGGAAACCTACGGGGCACAAAGGGAGAGGTGAAAGGACCAGCAGAGGCAGCCTGGCACGACCAGGGCGTGGGTGGTTTGGCCTAGCGGGTAGGACCAGGAGTCAGGCCTAGTGGTTGGAGCAGAAGCAGGGCCTGGTGGTTGGTGTGGGAGCCAGGGTCAGGCTAGGGAGCGGAGCTGGAGCTGGAAACCAGGAGTCAGGCCTCAGGTCGGCGCCAGGGGAAAGCCAGGAATCCGAGTCGGAGCCTGAAGCAGGGAACGAGAGCGGGGTTGGTGGCGGCGACAGGCCGGGTGCTGCCGGCTGGCACAAGCCGCTTCCTGGAATTTCCTCCATGCTGACCTAGCGTGCCTGGGCCAGTCTGAGGTTCTGGGGCGGGTGGGGGCTGCCAATTGGGTCTCCCTGGGTGGGGTGCTTAGTCCCCCAGGGTTCAGAGTGCGAGGATGCAGCTCAGCGTGGGTGGCAGCTGAGCCGGGTTCTAGTCCTCTGGATCCCTCCCCAGCCTGGCTGGGGACTTGACGGGACAAGCGATGCTACGTGACCTGGGACTGCTGGAAACCGCATTCTAGCTGCCCAGACCCAGAGCCACAAAGGCCTTTAGGTGCCTGACTCCCGCTGAAATGAGTTGCTGGACTGGGAGTTCGGTGGCTGTCACAGTGGGAGGGCACAGATCGGGAGGGTGGCTGGGTTGGGATGGACAGAGGAGGGAGAGGAGCTGGGTGGGTGGCCCCCATCCTGCCAAGGATGCTGACCCCATAGCCCAGCTTTGAGCGGCCCAGGGCCACCCCTGAGTTTGACTCCAGCTCCAAACGCTCCCAGTGCTCAGAAGTGACGGGACAGACGTGGGTTCCGCATCCGGCGGCAGGGACAAGCTCTGGGGTGGGGGGTTAGGGTGGGGGGATGTGCTGGGAGGAGCCAGGGGACTGAGCGTCTTCACTTTTGTTTTCAGCCACGGTGGGCCCCGTGAAGGTGATTTGGGAGAGGGGCGGCCAGACCAAGGCGCCGCCTGTACCACCCAGCAAGCCAGGTACAGCCATTGCCAGCTGATTCGGTGCCCACCCCTGTTCTCCCCCCAGGGCTCTCTGCTCTAACCACCCCCCTTTCCCATCGCGATTGCCAGAGCTCGTGCCCGAGCCCTCGGCTGGCCACTGAGGATGCCCCTAGGGCAGTGAGGGGTGCAGGTTCCCATGGGATAAGCCCAGTTTGTCCCAGTCACTTGGGGCCTGACCTGGCACTGCTCAGCCCCCGGGAGCCACTCGATTTGCTCCCTCCCCCGGCCCCACTGGCCCATGCAGGAGCAGAGAACCACCCCCCCTCCGCGGCTGGCTATCACACCTCGAGGTCTAAGCAACCCTGAGCCCTGCTGGCCCCATTGCAAAGCCCATTCTGCCACCATCTCCCTCTGCCCCGCTTGGCCAGGTCAGTGGGGCTGGGGAAGCTCAGCCCCGTAGGGAGCAGGGTGGGCGCAGCAGAGGGTGTGCGGCTCCAGTGAGGGGGTCGGGGGGATGTGCCAGAATGGAGATAAAGGGGGAGCTGTCCCGAGTCCCTAGGGTGTTTTTCATTTGACCCTGTTGGGTTGGGACCCCAGCGTCCAGGAGCCCCATACAGCTGCAGGTTGGGCAATGCTGTCTGGACTGCGACCTTACCTCCAGCAGAGTGGGTAGTAACCCTGAGTGCTTCTCCAGCACTTCCTGTCTGTAGATCATAGAATCTCAGGGTTGGAAGGGACCTCAGGAAGTCATCTAGTCCAACCCCCTGCTCAAAGCAGGACCAATCCCCAATTTTTGCCCCAGATTCCTAAATGGCCCCCTCAAGGATTGAACTCACAACCCTGGGTTTAGCAGGCCAATGCTCAAACCACTGAGCTATCCCTCCCCATCTCCACAAACACAGCCACGTGGTACAGAGCGGGAAACTGAGGCACGGAAAAGGGACGTGACTTGCCCAGGGCATCAGGTGTAGCGTCCAGGTTCGCCATCCCCCACAATGCACTGCAGGATTCCCCCAGGGCTACCCATGCAAGCAGGTCCCAGGCTACCCTCTGGGCTGAGTGCTGGGAAGGATCTCCGGCCTGGGAGGTGGAGCGGGATGGGGCAAGAGGAGAGGACGCGGGCTCCTGTGCTCTGTTGACCAGCTCTGCACTCTCCATACCCAGCCGCTAAAGGCCAGTATATGAGGACACCCAGCAGCGCCCTCAACCTACGGCAACATGGTAGCAGCCAGGCCTCCCGCCAGGCCACGTCGTGGGTCGGAGACCTCCCCACAGGTAAGGGGAGGCCCCCTTGGCACGAGAGGCGGGGCTGCATGTGGCCATTGCCCTTGGCTTTCAGTGGACTGTAGCACTGCTGGTTATTGTGTGGCCAGAGCAGGGGTCTGGGAGCCAGGACTCCTGGGTTGTGGTCCCAGCTTTGGTAGGTGGTGGGGACTAGTGGCTAGCGCTGATGACGGCAAGTCAGGACCCCTGGGTTCTAGTCCCGGCTCCGGAGAGGTTCTGTACCCACCTTCTCTCTCCCCGTAGACATATCAGAGGAGCTGGCGCGGAAGCTACAGGAACGAAGAGCCAACCTGGAGAACTGACCCGCTGCCCTGCACGGATGGCATGGCGGGCGAGGAGGGTTCTGCTGGGAACACAGGGTTCCAGTCCTCCCAGGGAACAAAACCTTGGCCCCAAACCTCTCCTGACTCTTGTGCAGCGTTGATCACGTACCCAGGGCCCGGCCCTTCTTCTCTGGCCCTTTCCCAGCACCGTGAGACACTGGTTTGTAGGGCTCGCAGCCCCCCACCTCGCCGACATAGCCTTAGCTCTGGGCCCTTCGGTGGTTTTTCTAGGGGCAAGGCTGCCACCTTGCATTGGGCCCTGGCTGTGCCCTTTCCGTGGCTCAGAGTGGCTGCCCCTAAGCCCAGTGTGATGTGGTCTGTGGGTGCCACGTGCCTGGACAAGCAGCAAGTGCCAAAGGGAGGGAACGATGCCCCATGGGTGGATCTGGGCGCAGCTGTGTGCCCTTGCCACCAGAGAGGAAGCTAATCCAGATCCCGGCAGGCTGCGACTGGCCCTGCTGCAGAGCAAGGGGGTCTCTGCGGGTAACGCCAGAGCACCTTTAATAGCCATGTGATTCCCACAGTCCTAGGAGGGCTGTGGGCAAGGAGCTAATCCCACCCCCAGATCAGGGAGGAAGCCTCAGGGCTTGTGTGCTGCGCTCGGACTCATTTGCCTAGACCAGGCCCTTTGCATGCTGCGGATCAGGCTTAAAAGGTACGGGAGGCGGGGGAGATGGGTGACGCCTTCCTGTGCCCAGGTTTCAGAGTAACAGCCGTGTTGGTCTGTATTTGCAAAAAGAAAAGGAGGACTTGTGGCCCCTTAGCGACTAACCAATTTATTTCAGCATAAGCTTTCGTGAGCTACAGCTCACTTCATCGGATGTGGGCTGTAGCTCACGAAAGCTTATGCTCAAATAAATTGGTTAGTCTCTAAGGTGCCATAAGTACTCCTTTTTTCTTTTTTCCTATGCCCAGTCTGCTTAGGGGTGTTTCACGGTGCGGGGTAAACCAAAGGCAGAGCTGAGGGGCACACCTGTGCCTGGAATGCCAGCGGGGCTGGAAGCTAGAATTGAGGGGCAGTGGCAGGGGGCATCCCAGGGCTAGAATAGCAGGGGGGCTGCAGGTTGGGTTTGAGGGGCATCAGCAAAGCTGTATGTAGGGGGAGCCCAGGGCAGTCCTGAAGTGGGTTGCATTGACAAGAGGTGTGCCTCAGGGCTGCCCTTGGCTGGAGCTCAGGGCTGAGGGCACCGGCCGAGCTGTGAGTGGGGCCCAGGGCTGGTACAGCAGGGAGCTCCAGTTTGGAACTGGGTGTGTTGGCAGGGTGGTGCACGGGAAGGTCTCATGGCCCCTGCCAACACTACCTAGGACTCCAGGGAGCTCCTCAGTCCCTCCCCAACATCTGCACTCATCAATTAGAACAGCAAGACTGGGTCAGACCAACAGACCATCTAGTCCAGTGTCCTGTCTGCCAACAGTGGCCAGTGCCTGATGCTTCGGAGGGAATGAACAGAACAGGGCAGTTATTGAGTGATCCAGTCCCAGCTTCTGGCAGTCAGAGGCTACAGACACCCAGATTATGGTGTTGCATCCCTGACCATCTTGGCTAATCACTGTTGATGGGCCTACCCTCCATGAACGGATCTAATTCCTTTTTGAACCCAGTTATACTTTTGGCCTCCACAACATCCCCTGGCAAGGAGTTCCACAGGTTGACTGCATGTTGTGTGAAGAAATACTTCCTTTTGTTTGCTTTAAACCAGATGCCTATTAATTTCATTGGGTGACCCCTGGTTATTGTGTTATGTGAAGGGGTGAAAATAACACTGCCTTCTATCATATCCTTAGTTGTCTCTTTTCCAAGCTGAAAAGTCCATCTTTTCAATCTCTCCTCCTATGCAAGCTGTTCCATGCCCCTAATCATTTTTGTTGCCCTTTTCTGTACCTTTTCCAATTTCAATATATCTTTTTTGAGATGGGGTGACCAGAAATGCATGCAGTATTCAAGGTGTGGCCGTATCATGGATTTATATTGTGGCATTATGATATTTTCTGTCTCATTATTTATCCCTTTCCTCCTGGTGCCTAACACTGTTTAGCTTTTTTGACTGCCGCTGTACATTAAGCAGATGTTTTCAGACAATGATTCACAATGGCTCCAAGATCTCTTTCTTGAGTGGCAACAGCTCATTTAGATCTTTAATTCTCCTAAGTCCCTCTGGGGAAAAGATCCTACATTCCTCTGAGTATGAATCAGTATTTTTCCAAATGTCAAATTCCCTTTAAAGCCTCAGCCATGAATCATTCCCTCTCCCAGGCACGGGCCTATCCTCAAACCCCCTGCCCTTCTCTCTGATCTGTGCAGGCTGCCTCCCTTCCCTTCCTGCTAACCCCTGCAAGCAGGGGGCCAGACAGACTGGCCTGGCCGGTGCACTGGACTCTTCCAAGCAGTGCCCTGGGCAGCTTGTCTTTGGCACGTGCCATGGTGCGCAATGATGCTAGAGGTGGTGATGCACGGCCCCTCTCAGTCTATCCTGTACATTGCACTTGGTGGTGTGCCTTGAAATCGGCGGTGCTGTGCGGCTGTACGCCAGCTGAGGGCTGGCTCTCCGGCTGTACGGAGGCCGGTGCTTTTGAAGGGATTTGTACAGTGTTCGATTGTTACCCACTTTGCATACATTGCTAATAAAATCGACCGTTTTCCCTCGACTCACCGGTGCTAGCCCCAGCCTCCTGCAGTCACGGTCACATCCTAACTCCGCACGTCGGCTGGGGAGAGGGGACTGGGTGCAGGGGCTAGAGATGGGGGGTAGGCGGCAGGACTCCTGGCTGTGCCGCTACCAGGCTGTGAGACCTTGGGTGAGTCGCTCGTGATTTTTGGGGTGCCCAACTTGAGACAGCTTGGGCCTGGTTTTCAGAGGGTCTGAGAACCCTAAATTCCTGTGGGAGTGGTGGGAGGCTCAGCCCTTTTGAACAGCAGGTGCCATCTGCCTCGGGTTGGGTACCCCACATCATGGGACCCACTTGAGAATTTTCCCCCTTCAGGCCCAAAGCCAGGCTGTACACTGGGGCTTAATTAACTCAAGAGCTACACGGAAAGCAGGAGTGAGCCCAGCCTGGAAACCCTCTGCCTACCCTCCTGTGCCATCTGCCCACGCTGCAACTTTGCTGCAAAGGGCCTCTGGGGTGGGAGCCCACCCAGCTGCCAACCCCCCAGATAGCTGACCCCGCGCCATTCACCCACAGTCCTGAAATAGGAGAGAGGGATAAATGTTATTCCACTGACATGGTAGCTGGGCCAGGACTGTGGCCACCGCAGAGAGAGATTGTTACCTCTTTGTGGGACGCTACTGCCCTGCACTCCAGCCCATGCGAGGCCAAGCAGGGTGGGGGGTTGCTTTGATCTCTTCCCTGTTACAGACGGGTTTAGATGTAAAACCTCCTTCAGCAGTCAGCCCCTTGGGTGACCCCCCTTTGCCTCCCCGGATCGGGCCTTTCCCCCATCCTTGGTGGAGGCCAGCTGCGTGGGAAGCACGGTCCTGCCTGCTAAGCCCTGCCGCGGATGGCAATGACCCACCCTGGGAATTTCGGGAGAACCCAGTGATTCGGCTGGGGGCTCTCCCCCCCCCAACCCCAGGGAGGACCGACTGCACACGGGCAGGTGCCTCGTGGCAGGAGCAGCAAGCAGCAAAGACGCCGTCGTCTCTTCCCTGCGCCTGGCCCCCCGACCGTGCCTGGCCCCCCAACCGCGCCTGGCTCGCCTTAGCACAAGCCGACACCAGACAGCAGAGGGCAAGGCTGTTCCTAGAGCAGGGTTTATTATTAAGGCCAGAAGCAGCGTTTGTCATCCGAGAGGCTATCGGGCTCTAAAAGCAGACGCATGCCCACGTTCCTAGTGCCACCTTTAAGCGTCGGGTTTTAGGACAGCCAGGCCTCAAAAAAACCAAACCAAAAACCTGCTTTCAGCCAGAGGAGGCCCCATCCTCTGGACTCGAGATCCCGGGGCGCTTAAAGGCGGTCATCTGCACGGCCTGCCTTTGGCACAAGTCTGGCTCGTGGACGTCCCCCTGTCTCTTAAAGGCAAGTGTGAGGCGGCAGGAAGGGATGCGCTGGGAGGGGGAGGTGGGTTTACAGTCGTAGGCAGGTGAGTCTCGGTACATTCAGAGCCTTCGAGTCACTGCAGCACCAGCCTCTCCGCCTCAAGCAGCCTTCCAGGAACTGGGAGGAAAGAAAACTGAACGGGCCACACACTGCGTCTCTCCCTGGTTCCAGGGAGCCAGGAGGTGGCCCAGTCCCACAGCAAAGCTGGGCCCGGTCCCACCGCGCCAGGGGGGGCCACGCGCGTCTAAGTCAGGCTGGCGTTGGAGCTGCTGGTGGTGCTGTTTCGCTTCTGCAGGCATTTGACAGTGCTGGGCACCTGCAGTCCAGAATAGACATGGAAGCTGCCGCACCAAACCTAGGGAGGACAACGAGGCACTTACTGCAGCTGCCCGCAGAGTGCGCCATCCCCAGTAGGCACGGAGGGCGGGGGATGCCGCGTGTCAGAGCAGCCAGGTGTTTATCTCACTCTCGTCACCGGCGTCTCTGAGTGTCTCGCCCACGGCCATGGCTCCCCCCCCCCGCCCCCGCGCACATCCCTGGGAGGCAGAGAAGCATTCTCCCCCTGTTACAGATAGGGAAACTGAGGCACACAACGGCAAAGTGACTTGTCCAAGGTCCACCCAGGGGCAGAGCCAGGACTTGAACGCAGGTCTTCTGGAGCCCAGTCCACCTTGGATATGTTAAAGATGGTGAAGTGCATGGAGGTGGTCTGAGGAAAAGCAGTCTATCGAACTAATTATTATTAACAGTGAGAGACCGTCCCGTAGAAACCTCTTTTCCCCTTCGCTGTGCCCCGGCAAACCACGGTTTGTTAGCCACCAAGCTAGCAGACTGTCTGGTGAGCTGTGCCCATTCTAAAACAGCTGGGCCTTCTGGTGCTGTGAGCTTCCCCCCACAGCAGTGTCCCAGCAGAGGCAGCTGGACCATCCTCTGCCGGCGATCTGAATCTAGTCTCTAGCATCCAAGGGCTTTGCTGGGCGCTGGGTCTGACCCCGTTCCAGAAAACAAGACAAGAAACAAGGCAAAGTGAGCCCTCCTGGGGGAGGGGCTGGAGCTGAATCAGTGGGGTCCACCCTCCTCTTTTCCCACGCCCCCTACCGCCCCAAGGCGGCGGGAGGGGGGAAGCTGTGCCTTTGGTTTGCAGAGA